TAAGGAGTCTGCATGGACGGGGTTCAACATTGTCCTCGGTCCTCTTGCCTATTCTTACCAACTTTTTAACCTGAACTCCTTTGGAGTTATCTGGTAAAATACTACGAATGTATTCTCCTAGCTTTTCTAAGTCATGCGCGTGTCTAATTTTCGGATCAGGGTCATTTGACTCACGCAATTTGCTCACAATAATATTCGATGTTATTAGATTTTTCTTCTCAGTTACGCCAGGATGGGTTTCACTCTTACGATCAGATCTTGATAGTGCAACTTGTGGCTCACAATTTGAGTCCACCAGTGAGTTACTAACTACCTGTGTACTGCTTACAGCTTTTTTCATTTCGTTTCCTACGTACCGTAGTCCATTTTTCATCCCTCATAACACTGGGACTATTTGGAACGGTGACTTTTATCCAGATCTTCGATTCCCACTAAAGGTGCATTATTAACTATGTCAGTACTAGGTGGTACTACTCCCCCTGTTAATATCAACGGAGATTTCACTTTTACGTCGTTCAGAGTCGGTTGTTTGAGGCGTTGCGTAACAACACTGACACATTCGTCACTGTCAGTGCCCGTGTTGTCGGCGCATATGCCATCATTCTTCTTACAGACCAAAGCCAATAGGCTCATAGCCTCCTGTATTAGCAATGCCTTGTTGGCACAGCAAAGCATGCAAAGCCAATGTGAATTAGGCTTCGAACATCTTTTATATGCAGTGGGACTTAAACGGGTGCACATTTTGTGGAACCATTTATTACATTCGTCACACTGCATTCCCTCCTCCACAAGGAACAAACAGTTTGGTTGTCCACATTTGTGGGTACTACCAACCATTTTAGTTTGATCAAGGTGTAACACAATATGATCACAGTATGAACCACAAGACAAACTCTAGCAAGATGTCAAACCTTAACTAAAGTACTTTGTTGCAGACCAAGAATGCTTTCGAATGTAATACACAAAAGCCAAAAAAACTCAGTAAAATATCACCTTAACAGGAGTAGATTCAATTAAAGTGTAAATCGTAGTTTTGATACGTAATTTACGATCAAAACAGTTTGTTAGATATTTCTCGCTGACGTTAAACGATGAAAATTGTGGTGTTAGTACACCTTTTAAATAACATACACTAGATGTGGTATTGTTTTGTATTCATAGGATCTCTACTTCGTAATGCTGTATTTCGTAATAGTATCCATATACGTAGTTCTGGTTTGTTGAGGTACAATATTGTGGTGATTATGGTGATTCTAGACCCCGTCTAATGAAGATAACCTTCCTATCTTCACACATGGCGGCCGCAACTCTGGAAGCATTTCGTGCCAAAAGACGTCGACTGCCACCTGGAATCCACATGCACCCGGATAGGCCATACGAAGTTAGGACCAAACACAAAGGCAAGTTGGAGCTGACCATTCCACTTGTGAACTGTTTAGACGACAAAAAAAACGTAAAGGACAGGACCTACCGCCTCAGCAAACCTCATATAGGTGGACTACCTGTCCATTCACGTAAGGCTCATACAGACAAACAGAAAGAAGCTCACGCGTTTCAAATCGAAAGCATAAACTGCTTATATATGAACGCCACGAGTCCACCAAACAAATTGAATAAACTACGTGAACTTAGCAATGTAAATATGGCCCATCTGATAGGAATATCTGAGACCTGGATATCTTCTCAATTCTCGGACCACGAGTTAGCATTACCTGGGATGTCTTTGTTCCGCAATGACAAAGTCAGGATATGGGGACGGAGTAGCTGTTTACATACGTTCTTGCTTGGAGGTGCATCAAGTTCATAACCTCGAGTTTAATAATCTCGAGGAATCTATGTGGTGCTCTGTAAGATTGTCCAGTACTTCGAGGTGTCTAGTCGGAGTCATTTACAGGAAGCCAACTGCCGACATCCAGTACGATATTCGTATGCTGGAAGGACTATCCCACTCTACTCGTCTCGAATTCACACACATCCTGATTCTAGGGGATTTTAATCTCCCTAGAGATAACTTCGCGGAACACACGTATACTTGAGGTGACAACTCAATTGAAGCTCGGTTCTTCAACCTTATCGATGACTTCGGATTGTACGAAAATGTGAGGTCGGCAACTCGTTGGAGAAACAGTCAGACGCCATCGCGCTTAGACTGTGTATTCACAAACGAAGAATTCCTAGTTGACAACCTCTCAATCCTGGCTCCTCTGGGAAAGAGCGATCATGCCGTCATAGCCTTCAGTTTTGTCATCAAAACTAAGCTAAGGTACCCCAACAATAATTTGCGTTGGAATTTTAAACGGCTGAATGTGCCAGCTTTACATGACTATCTACAACAGGTGGTTTGGGATGTTCATCCTCAACTCGATGTGGACGGTCATTGGGACTTCTTACTGCACACGCTCTTATGTGCTACAAACCATTCAGTTCCTCAAACGGTTCCCAAAAGCTGCAAGCCACCTACAGTAATCAAGAACCGCACCCTTCTCCTGTTAAGCCGCAAAAGGCACTGTTGGGCGGAATACAAACGAACTGATATCGACGGAGCGTATAGGTAATATAAACATATCAGGAACATATGCACGAAGGCTATAAGAGAAGACAGGCTTCAGTACCAGACAAAGCTTATGGACAAATTTGCCTCGAACCCTAGAAGCCTATTCCGTTATGCAGCCTCTCTTCGTCAAGTTAAAACAGGTGTTTCTCAACTGCTAGGTCTTAACGGCCCGACTAACAACGATGGCGGCGCCGCTAACCTTCTGGCGGCACATTACTCTCAAACATTTCAACCGGCTGACATCAACTTTACTGACGAAAGTTTCATCTGCAATTCCACAGGACTTTCCGAAGTGGACCTAAGCGCTGACTTGGTGTTCCGGAAACTGCAGCACTTAAGACTTGACACTTCTCCTGGCCCGGATATGGTTCATCCTGCCATACTGAGGGAGGCAGCCTCAATCCTGGCAACGCCGCTTAGCGTGATGTTTTCACACTCGCTTAGCCGAGGCAAATTACCGGAAAATTGGAAGTTGGCTCACATCACACCAATTTTCAAAGGTGGTCGACGCAATGAACCTTCAAGTTATCGGCCGGTGGCTCTTCTGTCATTACCTTCAAAACTCATGGAGTCCCTGATATGCGACGGTTTAAACGACTATCTACTGTCCTTGAATTTCTTCTCACTCCAACAGCATGGCTTCAGAAAGGGTTACTCTTGTATAACCAACCTGCTGACTGCGGTGGACAGATGGACAAGCATCCTCGATCGCGAGGGAAAGGTTGATATCATTTACCTTGATTTCTCAAAAGCTTTTGATAGGGTTAACCACTTGTGTCTTATCACTAAGTTCAAACGACTAGGTATCAAACCACCTCTAATCGATTGGCTTACTTCATACCTAAAAAATCGACACTTTAAGGTTAGGGTTAATTTCACTTTATCTCAGGCTATGGAATGTCCTAGTGGTGTCCCCCAGGGCTCAGTACTATGGCCTCTTCTCTTCTTGATCTACATAAATGATCTTCCTCAACAAGTAACGTCAGACTTATTACTTTTTGGCTACGACGTGAAACTTTGGAGAGAGATACGCAACCAAGACGATACACAGACACTTCAGGAGGATCTGACTCGACTTCAAAGTTGGGCAGATGATAACGGACTTACCTTTAACACTTCAAAGTGTAAAGTAGTCCATCTGCGACATGTCGCAGACTACAGTTATAACTTAGGTAATTTCCCTCTAGTAGTATCTCAAGTCGAAAAAGATTTAGGAGTCTTGGTCCCCTACGATTTAAAGTCTTATGCTAACTGTAACAAAAGTGCCTTCAGAGCAAACCTTGCACTGGTAACATTGAAGCGCATTTTTGGCCAGTTGGACGGAAGAACTTTCCATATGATCTTCAATAGTTTTATCCGTCCCCATTTAGAGTACGGAAATATAGTACTCTCCCCTCACTCCAAAAGGATAAGGACACCCTAGAGCGTATTCAACGGAGAGCCACGAAATCAGTTCGAGGACTCAAATTTAAACCTTATGAAGAGCGCCTCCATTCACTTAACCTTTACCCATTAGAGTATAGACGTCTTAGAAGTGACCTTCTGATGGCTTATAGTATCCTTAACACTTCTGGACATCCTCTCAAACACCTACTCAAGCTCAGTTCCAACACAAACTTAAGGGGTAACACCCAAAAACGGGAGACACAACATAGCAGAACGGAATGCAGACACAACTTCTACTCCTTAAGAGTTGTCAAATGCTGGAATTCGCTGCCGGCCGAGCTAGTCCAAGCGACTTCCCAGGAGTCCTTTAAGAGGCAACTTGATCTATTCTTAAGGACTAAGGATAGTATCGCACTATGATTTAGCAATTTTCTTTCCTGTTTTATTGTTAACATACCTGGGTTCCTGCCTGGAGGATTTGGTGATCCCCTGCTACTAGACACGGAAGCCTGTTAAGCGAAAGCTTCTTCTATTCCGTCAACAACCATTTGAACCATTTGAATATTATAGACATGAAGGACGTTTACAGATAGTGATACATTAGTCTAATGATCATTGCCATCTAAATAATAGACAAACTGTAAACTGGATTGGTTTAAATACAAATTAATTACTTGCAGCTTGTTGCTGAGTAAACATATCTAAAGCTTGCAACTCATCTTCAGTTGACGAAGGTAATTGTAGGCCGACTAGTCCTCCGCCAAATTATTTTGACTGGTTATCTGTCTTTGGTTTTTTCAACAGTAAAGTTAATTGTCTCATACTTTCAGATAACTCTTCAACCTCGTCTGACAGTGTTTTCATGTTTACATTTATCTTTATATGATCTTCAAGACTTCAGAAAATATCAAAGTTGATCCTCTGTTATCTTATTATGCTCACTCTGTATCTTATTTTTTTATTAGTAGTGCTTTTATACATAAGCCGTGTATATGATATATATATATTCTAATGTTCTTTAGAATACTAAACTTATAAAATGATAAACTTACATTTTTAGATGCTTATGAAAGGTCTAAACATTTGCAGATTCTTAAAGCCTGTTGGAATACGAGTACGTCATGTATTTGATTGAATTAATTGTTGTTTTGAACGTTTTAGTACGTAGTGACTCTGACCAAAAAATATCCTCGCAAAGTACCTTCTATTTTGTTGGCAGAAGGTATTTTACCTAAATTGACTGCAGATGACCTGGTATACCAAGAGGTCAATATAGAATCTAATGAATCTCCGTGTATAAATGTTTTATTAACAGATAACGTGCCTGGTATGTTAATATTTTTATACTGAATCGCTTCATACCTGTTTAAAACACTAGGGCGCTTTCGGAACATTTTGGATTAAAAAGCAATTAGAAGGTCTATTAGTTATTTACTTGCATCTTTCTGTTGAAGCACTTCACGATTTCAATCATGAATTGTTGACGACTATGTTACTCTTCGATATTTTATTCCAAGTCTTCTGATTTATTTTAACATCTGTTGATCTTACTATTTTACCATTTTTATTCAATTCAGCACTTAATCATATTCATATTTCTTTCATTCAGTCAAACTGTCTGTTGCATTTGCAAGGTTAAATTTTACCCTCAAACGTTTATTTACAGTATGGAAGTTCATATTCATTTGTAGTTTATTAGTATTTGTCCGATCTATCAGCTAGTAATCTTCAACACGTAAAATTAAAAGATCTATATTACTTTTTCTGTCAATGTAATGTAATTGATCACACCATTCCCATGCGAACTCGAATGTAAAATGATGGTCAGTAAAGCAGAAACTATCAAGGAAATTTCCTGACTAAAATTCTCAGTAGATTTAAAGTGCAGCGTAATATCTCGAAATAGAGTATTTGAATTACAGCCCAAAATATTTACAAGTAAAAAAAGCAATTAAATTGTTTACCGTATGTTATCTCATCAAAATAGAAGGGGTAGTAGTATTAGTTAAAAATAAGCAACTTATAAAGTGCTGTTGCATTTAATGTTGTTATTACTTCTGAATCAGGCTGAGAAATATATTTGACAGCAAGTCTTAAATAGGTACGACATGCTGAATAAAAATGCATATTTCTTTTGCCCTAGGACTTGGATCTGTTGGAACAGTAACTCCTGTACATCGTAATAAGTTCTGGAAATATTTGTATATTAAGGGACTTGCTGAGCTACCGACAGAAGAAAGAATCAACGAAATGAAGTCGAAACAAACGGTTAGTTAATTCCTCTTTATAAGTGCGTTACTTTAGATTAATTTTTATGGAAAAAGACCAATTTTCGCTGATGTTATTTCTTGCCTGTTCCAGTTCACTTTTATACATATAATATATTTAACATGTTTTGTCTTATTTTACTCAGTATGGTAAATAGACTACATTAAGTTTTACCCACTAGTAGTTTGTATGTAAATATTGTTCTCATTCTCTTAATTTTTTTTTAGGGAAAACCAACTGTTCTATGTGGTGAATCTTATGTTCTTCAACAACGCTTGTCTAATATGACCCTTTATATACCTATGAATCCATCTCGAGAATGGACTCTCAATAAAACTCATGTTAAAGTTGCTTTAAGACGATATGTAAGCTATTTTCGATAGAATTTCACTAATTGTTTTTTTTTTCTTTAGGGTTTCGCAATAAAGGAACATTATATCACATTACCAAAAGAAGAAATAACTTCAAAAAATTCCACATCTTCATTTAAAATTAGCGTTAATGTAAATCTAACAAATATATTAACAGATTATCTTGACATTATTTGTTTCTCTAGTTAGGTTTTTTTAATAAAATCCTTTGTTTGATTTGTTAATACTAGTAATTTCACAGGTTTAAATCATGAGTCAGTTGAAGCTAGACCACCAATGAAAACCTGGAAGCACTGGACGGCCGTTTCGTCCTGGTATGGGACTCCTCAGCAGTGCGCATCCACGATCCCGCACCACGCGGGGCTCAAACCCAGGACCTACCGGCTTCGCGCGCGAGCACTTAACCATTAGACCACTAAGCCGGCATCCAACGGTGTTAATGTCTAACTTGAACCAATCCACGAAGTTGCGCCACCGTACACCATTGTCTTCAGTGAGTTGTTATCTCACAACAGACCTGGTTGAACTCCACTGGTAACGGCTTCTCACTAGAACTCCAGGAGTTTTTCTTCAAGTCAGTCACTAGTGAGCAGTTGATTATTATCAGAATGGGTTTTGTGGAGAGTTTATACAAATTTCATAGGTTGAAATCATGAGTGGATTGAAGCTAGACCACCATGGAAAATCTGGAAGCTTCAACTGACTCATGATTTAAACCTGTGAAATTTCTTAACTTCTCCACAAAACCCATTCTGATAATAATACTAGTAATCCTTAAAAAATGACCAAAGACACATATCGCTTTTAGTCTATATTCATAATGAGTACGTACATTGTTACGTATAATTCAACTGAATTTCAGTATCACTTGAATTTTCTACCACAACTTTTTCACATCCTTAATCTAAAATAGACTTATACCAGTCCCCGAAACTATTGTTCATTTTTCTGAATCATTGGATGGAGATTTACTCTTATTAATTGGATATTATAATGTTGGATTTCCACTTGAGATTTATTTAGTGATTAAACACGGGACAAATGGGACAAACATGGGACAAATGTGCGGGATCGAAGCGTTTGATTCACGGCAATTTGATCACAAGTTTAAATTATGTTCTACTTGCTTCTCTGTGGGTCGTGTTACTAGCTTTCATACTAGAGGTTTAAGTCAAAGCCTGATTCCACCTACAGATGACACAATTTTTCATTTATGCAGTGGCAGAGAAAAGCATTGAAGCGATGAAAACATTCGTAAGGAAATCAATACTCTTAAAAAAATCCAGGGCTTTTCTGCGCTATATCTACATTTATTCTCTAACATAACTTGTCTGTGGCAAAATATACTAATAATTTTAATTTTTTCTAGACTATTCCAACAGCTTAATATAATCTTTAATAGTAGTATCGAATTTACCTTATTCGTATCTTCATTCTCGTGAATCTATACTTTATATTTATAGTGAAGTATGAACAGGTGTATATAACATTTAATACTTCATTCTCAAACTTAACAAATCATTATCACTTTTGCGTGTTTTTTTGTTGTTCTTGTTGAAATGTATACGAACCCGATTTGTTGCTGTTGATTTCAATTAGTTAATAAAGATAAAAGAGGTCATCCAAATTCGGAAGGGATATTTAGTCTATTTATTTCAGTGTTTATATTTATATCTAATGGAACTGACCATTACGTTTTTCTTTCTCACTCAACTGACATAGGTCCTTGTGTATATATCTGATACTAATGTGTTGGTCACAATAAGCTGTGATCGGTCAATGAACGAAGACACACATATTTGGCTATAGTTAATATACGATATTGTTATATATTTAAAGCTGTTTTTAATCTGTTTCATTCAATGTATCGACTGCTTGTACTTTATTTAATAGGCTACTTATCTGACCTATAGCGGATTCTTTATTTTGATTTAGATAAATAAGTCAAGTGTATCACGTAATCTAGTACTCAGTCAATTATCAACCATCTAACATTTATTGTCCTAGTTTCGGATCGAATATCAGTTCCTAGGATCAAGCAAACTGGTTTCTGTTATTATCATACAAGAGCTTTCAAGATACATTATGCAGCAATCATTTATTTAAGTGGCTAAATTGTAACATTTCAGTTCAATTCACTCATAGTTCATTTAAAAGATTAAACTTTCCAACAATGCATTTACATTTTTTGTTTTGTTTTACAGATTGATGATATTATCAATGTTGTTGTCCCATGTTCAATATTTCTTTATCAAAAGTTAGATAAAGGAATGTGTACTCAACCACCAACAAATGTTTTTAGAAAAATTAAAATTGAAGATTGGACTGCAGATTTTTCTAAAACTGATATTTTAGTTTCTATTTAAAATTATTCAAATAAAAATTAATATTTTTTTTTCAAAATAATGATTGTTTTTGATTTTGTTTAATTTTATCAGGTTGTTTATATTTGATCAAAACATAGTTCACCCCGTCGCACAAGCAAGTGGCTATCAGGACTCAGTAGCTAAGTGGATAACGTGATGGCGTTTGAAGCGGAAGGTACTGAGTTCGAGTCCCAGAGTGAACATCAACTCAGACGCAGGTACATCCAGCTGACGAGTCCCAAACAGGACGAAACGCGCATCCTGGATTCCACTGCTAGCCACTATCCATTTTTGCTTACAATGCTTGTAAATTAAGACAATATCGAGGCAATACGCACAGTATGCACTTATGCTAATAAGAGACTGATCAATTTCAGTCCTAAAATCATCAATGGGAAGATTCAAGTAAAACAATACCAAGTGAATTAGACATAGTTTAGTTTGTCATTTCCAATTATTTGTTAATGTTTCTATTCTTTACATATTTGTGTATATGTATACTGTTAACTTCATTATTTATCTTTGTTTTATATTTAAAAAAACAGAAGAAAATTAGTAATAGTCGTCGATTCTTTTCGTATTTCAAACGTCGAGCATATGAACCAAATAAAATTAAACAAATTGATGACTCTAGTATAGGGTTTATGGTGAGTATAGTTGGTTAATGTTTCTTAAATTATATAATGTCATGTTGATTTCTATATATTTATCAGTCAAACATAAGTAACATAAAACCTGGAATGTATATATATATATATATATATATATATATATATATATATATATATATATATATCGACTCAAGTTGCCAGACTATATCAGTACATGGAGATGAAATCATCTAGAAAAATTTAGGAGTAACAAAACTACTAACTGTATTAGTAGTGATAAAAACAGACGAAGTGTATAAAATATGATTCGAGAAAAAATATACTAAATTTGCTGACTAAAACTTATGAGTATTTTAAGACAAAAAGTAAATACATCTGTATTATTGCCACTGGTTATGGGAGTTACATGAACCCTTACAAGATAGTTTGCACCTACCTACATTACTCAGACCAAAAAACAATAACATCAAAGACTGATGCCAAGTTTCGGTCTAGCCAACTCTGTATTTCTTGCTTTATGCCAACAAACATAGAGCGTTGAAGTATACGGTGATTAAGCACACATAGTCCATGTCTTACCCACTTGAGTCGAGGCAGATTCCCTACCGCATCAATTAGTTCGCCATCTTCACCTAGTACCCTTCGTTTAATATCTACATTGTCCACCTGGTGATTGCAACGCTCACGTGCAATGTTTTGTAGGCATCTATCATTAAATGACAGTAAGCTTAGGATGTCCACTTTCAAAGGCCGAATCTCATAACCATAAAGCGGAACAGGACGAATTACTACACACTATGCTCCTTTTTTAGTTAAGAGATGAATATATTGTCTACACTACTAGTAACATAAGTTTGCAGAAACTTATCACGGTTGCTGATTTCTTGCTGAGACTTAATCAAGAGCTAACTCACTAGCGTCACTGAGACTTCCAACATGGATGAAACAATCGACGCGTTCGACTACTTCACTCCCATTAAATTAACCGTTAACTCATATCAATCATAAAGCAATATTTACGAGTATCGACGTACGTTTTTAAAAATGTTTTCCAACAGTTGATACTTAATTCTAAGTATGTGAGTATTATTATTATTAATGGCTTTATTCAATATTATATTTTGGTACAATATAGAATTTTCAGCACTATAGTACTGTAGTGAACGAGAACACAAGTGGGGACAATTGGATGTATTTAAATACAAAATTACTGAACGTCTTAGTAGAATCTGAGAACCGTACAGTAAATACCTCACTTGAAAAATATCAATCAATTGTCTCAGACTTCATTGTTCTTTCGTTTTCACAGCAATCATTCTCTCTTCTCGTTTTCTTCGATCTTCTTAAGCTTCTGCCGTCAGACATTTGATTTTCGACTGATGATGCGTACTAATTATATCTGTCGACATCAGTCGCACACATCGCAGTACACCGTTAATGTTGTTTTTGCTAGTTGACTTTTATCAACTTATGATGTGATATTTTTGTTTCATTTGATATTTTCCTCATATTCATACTTCAATCAAGAATACTGTTCTTATTAGTCAATGACTGATAATACGTTTTCTTATGTGTTTCTGTTGTATTTACCTGATGATAAATACTGCTTTATAACTTAGTGTTTTGGTTTTCCAGTCAAATCTTCACATTCTTCGAAAATTACCCTCAATAACTTCACAATAGTAGACTATGACATCAAAAACTAAATCATTCATAGTTAGTCTATCCATATGATGCAATGTTTCAAAGTGATCATTTTCAATAGTAATTTTCCCCAAGAACAAAAACGACGTGGCTCATTGGCCAAGACGTTCAAAATCAAACGTTCAAACCTTACTTCATCTATTTCGCTGCAGGCAATCGAGTAGTATCTCTAACCTCTAAGTTTAGAGTGTGGCTTGAAGGCAAGTATACAAATCTGCACCCGGTGAATGAATTATTAATATGAAGGCGAAACAACAACTAGGCATAATATTGGAAAATTAAATAAATGTTTATGTTATTCTATGAATCGTACATATAGTATTCACGTTCACATTAATATTTAATTCTACTGATCTAAAAAAGCCAGTGCCTATTCAAACTCTTGATTGAGTTATTAGGTATCGGAATATCTCGGCAATTAGATCATGTTTATCCACTTTGAGACAAAAAGTTTGTCAGTAGTAAATTTTGAAAAGAAATCAGTATGTCACACTTATAGTATCTTCGATTGACCCACACCAATTTCAATTGTTGACAGTGGATGCAATTTCACTTTGGAAACCAAAGTAGTCTGAACTAAACATCTTTGGTCACTTTGTAGAGTACGCTATCAAATATTTGTTCCCTATTAAGAAGTATGAAGCTTTTTACTTCGTCACGCCACCTTACGTTAAAAATGGAAACATCTGTCTTATTCGACATTATCTCATTGTACATTAACACTTTACTATGCTTACTAGGTTTATCATTATATCGCCAATAATTCATTGTCACTCTTGATCTTGGTTTCTCCATAATCGTCTCTACGTATATTTATGTTTCTTACTCTTGATAATCTTGTGAACTACTCCAAAATTGAAGTTATTTAATTATCATATTTGAACAATCATCATAACTCGACAAAGTACTACTGTGTTGATTGGTTTGGCGTGGTCGGCAGAGAACTCTTGATCTAGGTGGAATTTATCAGCAAGGTGTACCTGCAATCTTGAATTAATTAATACTCCTTGTGGAATTCAGACGAACAAGTGCATCAGTAGAATCCAATTATCATTTAAGAACTGGACAAATGTGATATTAGTCAATGCTCAGTAATTAATCAGTTGTAAATTACTACTGTCTTTTATATACTTATATCAACCTGATCATCCCTATAAATACACATGCATTCTGTGATTATTTTCAGATTTTTTTATTACTCTTATTGATACACTTCGGTTGATTTTTCCTCTATTTTTATCTATATCTTCATTATTTTAGTTATCTGATTTAAATCATAATGGTAGAGTTGCATTAGCTCACTTTGATCATTACTATAGTGAAGCTTATGGACCAGTTGCTTGGCGTTCAATGCGTATAGCTTTATTAATGCCATCTAAAAAAGCTATTCTCTATAATCGTTATTTTCCCAATGTTAGTGAAACAATTTCATCATCATATAATAATGATGATAATCAGTCATTTTTACCAAACATAAACTTTATGCAAACATTAATTAAACATCAAAACTCTTTGATAAATAATGTATACAATGCTGATAAGAATCCGAATATTATTGATGAGGTAACATGTTTATTAGATTGTTTTTTTCTCACGCAAAAATGTTTTTAATTATTTAAAAAATTCATATAAATTAACAGTACAATGATAAATAATTTGTATCTATTATAACACGGAGTGTTTAAGTTTGATACTGATGCACACAACTTCCTGCATTCCAAACCTTCAACTGGCCGTTTCACGAGAAGACTGTGAGTGAAGAAGAAAGTTTATTGGACTGAACCACTTGACATACTGAAGCACTCATATATATCATATACTCAGAAAATGATATTACTAGTTGTCCAATCACATGCACTTGTCATTAGATTTTTGATTGGCTCAAGGTAGTCTTCTCACATGGCGAATTTTGATTGGTTAACTGTATCAGTTTTCAATTATAATTTGTTTTTATATCATATTATGAGACAATGTTTTGTAATCTTCAGGAATTCTGTTGAAATAAAGTGTTGTTTTTTTAAATCAAGAAATTAAATTTCTTCGAAATATTCAATCAAGATACCAATTCCTTATTAACAATGAGCGTCAAACTATAATTCCAGTTCATATTTTCAAATGCTCTTCTTATTCCGACTTATTGTTGATATTCAGAATTGAGTTTTTATGTCTTTGCTATCATATATGTATATACTGTTATAATAGTCAAGAATTTACTTAATTAATTCCTATTGTGTAAAGTTTGGTTGATTAAGTACATGGAATTCAATTTCTTTATTAAGATTCCTCTTTATTAATTGTCTTTTATTGTTATAACTATGTTGTAATACTGTTAGTCCACAATAGGAAAGTCTCAGCGCAATACCATTTAATATTACTATTGACTAATACACAGACAAACATAACATTCGGATGTTTTTCAGATTTGGTCGATTCTAGACTGAATATCAGTTCGTGAGTTTATTGACTTATGATTCAACTTGTGAGGGACAAATGTACTCTTCTTTATTTGGAGATATTAGGTGACGACATGCCCATATTATCTGCAACGATATAGTTGTATTTGTTGTTTCTATAAGTCTTAGTCTTCGTATTATTTTATTTATTACTACTACTACTCTGGGATTTATCTTGATAATTATATCTTGCTGCGTTAATGTAGTGTAGCAACTTTCATCGATACACATATCTGCCAGGTTGTACATTGTGTATGACGGACTAACTGACAGTTGATTTCTTACGTCCGATTCCTTACTGTAATGCACATTATGGTTTATCCTTTTTTGTTCTGCAACTTGGTAATTTACTCCTTTTTTCATATTCTTGTAAGATGCGGCACTTTCTACAGCAGTTCTTACATTTCTTGATGAATATAAAATATTCAGATCTTCAAATTTGCAATTATTTATTTCCATGCACTGTAAAACACACAAACGTCTATATGGAGAACAATGAAAACTTTATGACCCAACGATTCAGTTCAAAGAAAACAACTTCACTAAAATCATCCACCTGAGTTACGAACCTTCACCTTTTCAAAAACAAGGGTTTATTTTGTGTCGCTTGTTCTTCATACTAGAACAAGTATCATACTTTGAAACGTACAATTTACAAATGATGAATAGCTGCATAATTAAGTTATTGAATAATATCGTTTTATGCATTTTGATCCCTTGATAAATGTGGATAAAACAAACTTTCTAGAATAGTATGGATTAATTATACTGCAAATAGACTAAATTTATATTTGTAATATTATTATAAAGATTCTTTATCACACAGCATAATCAATGAAGTCTAGTTAGGAACAAAATATAAGAAACAAGAAGATGAAGCATGTTTAACATAACAATTTAGATTAATTAGTAATTCCATATGTCTAAGATGAAATCATAAAAAAAAGAAGAGTATGAAATTACAAATGATAGTAACCGGATGATGAATGAAAAAACCATTGTAAGCAAATGAGTGATAAACATAGGGATCTATTCGACATGAGATTCATGTCAATGTCATAACTGAATATAAGTGGAATATCTTATTTCAAGTTAAATAGTACAATAAAGAGATAATACAAGTGATGAGCGTTAAAATAATCTATCTTACGATGGTAATGAAAGATTTACCACACTTTCTTTCTGTATACAAAGGTCAGGTCGAAAGCACTTGATGTCAGTGACCCTTGGAATGCGAATTAACAGTGATGTTTGCTGCTTGTTAATTGTTTTAAATACTTTTGTGATATTTGCGTCATGTTCACTATCCATTAAATGTTTTATGATCCTACTTCTGAATACTTTACTTCCTTTCTGAATATTTTCAAGAAACCTTATAGATTCCTTTTTTTTTCTAAAGTGCTTCCCATTCACTTATTTCCATAAATATATGTAAATTCGTTTGGAGGTGACCTCATAATAGTATTGATCTGCTTTTGATTGATTTAGAAAACATCTGGTGTTATATTTCGAAACTAGTTGGGCTACAGCAAAGCTTGTCCTTAGCACTGCTTTAATTCTTTTATCAATTCTTCCTGATATGTTTTCACTTTTAAATGCAAGAAGAATGATGACGGGTTTCTCTACCAACAATTGTTTGTTTAGGACTTTCTGTTATCATTTTTCTGTACTTCATAATAATTTTTTTGGACATCCGTTTTTTAGAACGACCTCTTAAATGTACGCTGTTTTCCTCGTGTTTTTTTTCTCTCGGTTGAACACAATCTTCTAGCCCTGTCGAATAGGATTTTGACTAGAAAATGTTTGTAACTAAATAAGTTAAAAGCATTATAACTTAAGTATTACTTCGTCCATGTTTCTTTTCTGAATATGACCACGATTGTTCTATCGTTCTTCGTTTTATCTTTAGTGCTAAATAGTTAAATTAATTAATACGTTATTTTATTCCACTATGAATTTGATATTAATATGTGCTGCATTAAAATACTAGAACAACTGTAAGATATTATTCCTATCATTACAAACAGACAAAAATGTATCATCAGTATTACCTTCCGTAGAATGTTATGTCGTGGATTTCGTGTTTGAATTTTGTTTGTTCACGATTAGCCACAATGATGTCCGTTAAAATAGACCGTGCCAATAATCCCGATAATCCCTCAATTTGTATATGTAACCTTATTCCTAAAGTTGATATTATGCTTATCCATTACTAATTATTATTTGTGACAAGAAATCGTTGATATCATATATTTTCTTTATGAAAATATTTCCAAAATTTTCTTTACATTTTAAAGGTTATCAACGTAACACAATCTAATTCACGTCGTAGACAATTTCTAACACGTTACAGCCCATCAGATGAAACTATGGATACAACTAATCTCAATGAATTTATACCATCAACTGAATTAATTAGTGAAAATGAAATGTATACAAGAGAATGTGATACAGACTTTACATTTTATTCTAAAGATTATTATGGTATGATTAAAGCAGATGAAGATAATTCATCTGATTTACAGTCATTGAAAGTGTTAACTGAAGAATTTCATATACCCGAGAAGTTATGTATTAAATGTTCACCTCCTGGTAGATTGGTTACAATACCACATCCAACTTATTTAAATGGACAATTTAGTATGTTACACATATATCATGTGTTATTTGTTAAAATTTTCTATATTGTCAGCATGCGTTTGAGACGACTGTTGAGCTCCATTTAAATCACGAACCGATCTATTTTGGACAACCTCGAAGCATTGCACCGCTGTTTTGTCTTAGTATGACGGGACTCCTCAACAGTGTGCTCCCATGAGCCCACAACCGGGATGCAAATCTAACTTCAATTAGTCTTTGAGCAGTAGAGCTAAACTGTGTCGAATGTGAAAAGCTACCTAACGAAGACAATAGAAAATGGTCGTGCTATATTGCGGATCGACTCGGGTTTGACTTGTACACTATTGGATCCCGGCTCAGGGTTTCACATGTTAAACGTTCGCGTGCGAAACCGAAATTCCTGGATTTGATTCCCGGATATGGGATCATCACTCATCTAAGGAGTGCCACGCTAGGACGAAACGGCCGTCCAGTGCTTCAAGGTTTTCAGTAGTTGTCAAACCCCGACCGAAGCTGCTACTTTGACGTGGTGGTCGGGCTTGCCTATCGTGATGACCCATCCGAGCTATATTGGCTGGAACATATGTTCCTGTAGGTTCTACCATGCCAGGCAGGTCGATTGGTGAACGGTAAGACTAAAAGCAGCAACTCAAAGTCTGAGGGCGAAGTCGTACTGCTGACTGTACAGAGGTGTGACAGCAGTAAGGTGTTTCCTTCGGACAATCAGCATGACAGCGATGCTGCCTTCCCACAAGGAGGGGTGGGGTTAGAAAAGGTCGACCCTAAAAATGTCACACCTCACCTTACCTCACGGATTTCCGTCTCCGGCGGTAAGGCCATCTGAAGAACGGAACTAACACGTCAAAAACCTTCTACAAAAAGGCCGTGCGCGACCGGCCTCAAGCAGTTGTCTTTTGGGCTCTGCGGTCACGCTCCCAGGTCGTTAAGACCAACACTAATCCAATTTCCTTTTCAGGTTCCTCAAGAAATACCCTTCCACGGTGTGGGCAGCCGGGAAGTGACATCAGCCCTCATACCCGTAACAGCACGCGAGGCCAAGTTGGTCACATTCAAATCCTTCCTACACCTAATACCTCTCTTATCTCCATGACTAACCCTCCTCACGTCTCTTTATCACCTCGCACCGCTAGGGTAAACGATTCGAGTACGTGGAACGCTATTCCTGGTCTCCTGAAACCACGCTCTAAACTACACGTAGGAGCTTTTAACGTACGAACACTGTGCCAAATAGGACAGCAGGCTTCCTTAGCTAGGACTTTAGAATCTTACGCCATCGATGTGTGTTGCGTCTCCGAAACGCGCATACAGGATCCAAGTAGCATCATTCATTTGACCTCACCATGCCAAAATAAAGAACCGACTCGATTTACGCTTCGTGTATCTGGAAGCCCTGATTCTGCTTCCCGTGGCCTCGCCGGCGTAGGTATAGCATTGAGTCCTAGGGCAGAACTAGCTCTCTTAGAGTGGATCCCAGTAGACAGTCGTTTGTGCGCTGTCCGACTGAACGGAACAGTAAGAATCCGGAAAGATAGGGACACTCGTCGTTGCCTCTTCGTCGTCTCTGCCTATTCTCCCACTGACTGCAGCTCAGATGATGTAAAAGATGAGTTTTACAGAAAGCTTTCGGACCTTCTCCGAAAAGCTAAGCGCTCGGACGTAGTAATAGTGACCGGTGACTTTAATGCTCAAGTAGGTAAACTGAGCGATAGGGAAAGACACCTAGGTGGATCTTATGGTGTCGTGGCTCAAAGAACAGATAACGGCGACCGTCTGTTGCAGCTATGCTCAGATAACCGCCTGTTCCTTGCAAATACTAACTTTAAGCATAAGGAAAAACATCTTTTAACATGGCGACCTCCTAATTCGTCCCAACGTTGGACCCAAATAGATCACATCGCTATCAGCCACCGATGGAGGGGCTCGATAGAAGACTGTCGCTCATTCTGGAGCACATGCCTAGATTCAGATCATGCTCTAGTACGAGCGCGTATTTGCTTGCGTCTTACTGGACGTAGGAAAACGCTGCAAGTAAACCTCTTATGGCGCTACTTAATTATAGTCAAGCTAAGAGTATATTTCAAGAAGAACTAGGAAATAGTTAGGCAGCCATATATGTGATGCCCACCCCGAGGCAGCATGGAACGATATCCGAAAAGCTGTGGAAACTGCAGTGTTATCTGCTAGTAAGGTAAACCAGAAGGTTAGAGAGCAACACTGGATCTCAGCAGCATCTATCGCACTGATAGATGCTCGGAAACTCATTCCACCTGGCTCTGAACATAGTGAAGAGCGGAGTCAACTTAAGCGCAAACTGACAAGAAGTCTACGCAATGATCGCGAACAGTGGTGGGTAGCGAAAGCAAGAGAGATGGAAAAGGCAACGGCAATAGGTAATAGCAGACAATTGTTCAGACTCGTTAAGGAAACCGGAATTAGGAACCCGACTGTTAGCGAAACAATCGCAGAGAAAGATGGACATATTATTCATTCTCAATCCAGGAGATTGGATCGATGGGCAGAGCACTTTAGGGATCAGTTCAACTGGCCTTCAGCCACACTTCGGTTTCCCACGATCTCCAGTCAACCTGAATGGCAAGTTAATGTAAGTCCTCCGTCTCTTTATGAAGTTGAAAAAGCCATAGGAAATCTGAAACGAGGGAGAGCAGCAGGCCCTGACAGGTTTACTCCTGAGATTTTTAAGGATGGTGGTCCAGTATTAGCAATGAGATTAACCGAGGTCTTAGGTAGAATTTGGGAACTGGACGTAATCCCATCTGACTGGTCTCAATCACTGATTGTACCAGTTTATAAGAAAGGACAAAAGTCCTCTTGTGACAATCACAGAGGAATCAGTTTGACTAATATAGTGTCTAAAATATTAGCTTCAATAATATTCACACTACGTCAGGTTCTAGAACACAGACACACATTCAGACGCCCCACAATGGTAGTATTTCTCGATCTTAAGGCGGCATTCGACTCTGTTGACCGTGAGGTTCTATGGCAGTGTTTGTCACTGAAAGGAGTACCAAAGAAGTACATTAATCTTATAAAGGCTTTCTACTCGAACACATCTGGTCGAGTGAGAGCTTATGGCGAACTGTCATCAGAATTGATTACCTCAAGTGGTGTTCGTCAGGGCTGTCCACTCTCCCCATTCTTGTTCAACTTTGTGGTCGACGTACTTTTAGAGATAACACTCTCCTCATCTAAATTTCCGGGGGTTGAACTTCTACCGGGAGGTTCACTTGTTGACTTAGAATATGCAGATGACATAGTTTTATTTGGTGAAGACGCTGACAAAATGCAGAGTCTTCTGACCACTCTAAGCAACAATGCAAGCATGTTCGGGATGCGATTCTCTCCCTCGAAATGCAAAATGTTGCTTCAGGATTGGGTTACATCGACACCCGAACTAGTGATAGGGAGTGAAGTAGTTGAGTGTGTCGACCGCTTCACTTATCTTGGAAGTCTCATCAGCCCTTGTGGTCTGGTGTGTGACGAAATCTCAGCACGGATACAGAAGGCTCGACTAGCTTTTGCCAGCTTGCGTCATTTATGGCGTAGGAGAGATATCCGTCTACCAACCAAAGGACGTGTTTACTGCGCAGCAGTTCGTTCCGTCCTGCTTTATGAGAGTGAAACATGGCCGGTAAGAGTAGAGGATATTCGTAGGTTACTAGTATTTGACCATAGGTGTCTTCGAAGTATTGCTCGTATATCCTGGGACCATCGAGTAAGTAACGCAGTTGTTAGGAAACGGGTACTAGGTAAGGATGGCAAATCCATTGATGAAGTAATGAAACTTCATCAGTTGAGATGGCTGGGACACGTGTTACGTATGCCCAACCACCGACTGCCTCGACGTGCGATGTTCAGTGGTATAGGAGTAGGTTGGAAGAAAGCTAGGGGCGGCCAGACCAAAACATGGCACAAATCCATGAAGTCACTGACAAGTGGACTGAGTCATGTTGGTAGGTGTAGACTACCTGGTTGGGGACCGCGAGATGATAGCAACCGATGGTTAGAGACCCTGAATGACATGGCTCAAAATCGTTTGCAATGGCGCAGGTGCATCCACTCTTTGTGTTCTCCCAAATTTTAATTATCTGAATTCTTCATGCCCCTTTTTTTCCTCTTTCCAAATTTATTTCACTGGATTATACTCGTTAAATAACATCTCCAAACCCTAATCCTCCCGATTACTGCTTATACTCTTGCTACCTCTTCCACTTGCTACCACTTCCACGTTGTTACTGGCTGACTGACTGAGTTGTCAAACTCCGATCAGCCCATAGTTTCAGTAGTTTCCTATATTATTATTATTATTACTATTAATTATTATGTTTCTTCGAATATGTCTAGTCTAACAATGTTGCTGATATATTTATATTGTATCAAAGAAGTAGAGTTATCCAGTAGGATTTGATGTGATTGTTCATTAGTTTAAGCTGCCATATCTTTCTTCCGACGTACTTTTTCCTTCTTCCTATCCTATATCCTTATATGCGATCATTCTTTTATATATTACCACCATTGAATGAACTACTTCTATGGATCCGGTGTTCATCTTGCCGTGCTAATGCGGTATGGCAATTTGGACGGATACATATACGTGCATGGTCCTACGTTGTAGCTGACTGTCTGCCATACTTTAAGTCGACTATATGAAAATTAGCTCTAGATTTAATATTTCTCTATCGTAATAATTATTGAAAATTACTTATTTACACGATGACTAAACAGCAATAATGCATTGATAAATGACGTCACTTTGTTTAAGACTCATATCCTCATCATATTATACAAATTATTTTTTTATACTACTCAATTCTTAACATTAACTTTGATCTCAATCAATATTAACTGTTTATATATGAGAGTTGCACTGGATAAACTTATGGTTGATTTCCTATTATCTACATTTCGAAGTTGTTTATTAACATTAATCAGACTCTTGTCTAGTATGTGCATTGTTTCGTGGATGTTTCATCATTATGACTTTCGGAACCGTAACAATTCTAACCAATTCATGTTTCGCCCATAGTCCTGGTCTTTCACATGATTGATAGTTATTTATTTGAATACATAAATATTGGTACGAAGTGGTACCGAATGCATATGTGCTACACAAGTCATTTGATTTGTTTGTGGGCTGTAATACTGCCCGGGTGTCCAGACCGGAACAGGTGGTTTTCTTAGGGGGCCACACCTAGAGCCTTCGACCTAAAGGCTTTTTTTATAATAATAGGTAAATTGAAATAAAACGTTTGGTTCACTAATCAAATCTTTAAATCATAGAACTTCAGCTTCATATAGTGCTTATATCTTTTCATTTACAACACATCAGTCAATGTTATTAATACTGTCTTAATGAAGTATAATGTTAAAATTGTTACCGTAACACAAATCGTATATCTTTTACTGAAACAAATAATGTTATTTTTATCAAATGTATAAGATATCTCACCTGAACATTATACTTGAGTGCGTCTAAATTAACTGTAATGATTTAAATTCTATGATGGTTACATAAAGATTTATTTGTTCATATAATTGCCTTCTCGTGGCGGGGGTTTCGTTTACGAAAATGAGAGAACGAAAAACAAATGTCCGGCGATTTAACCGGATTCAAAATCAATGGTGTACATGGGCTCCAGTATCCTGCGGGAACAAACGGCGTATGCACCAATTGTTGGTCACCGGCTTCCATGGGACTGCATCTCCTTACGATACTCCACTGCCTTGTGGATCAGACCTTCAGGTCGAAGGCTCAGGGAGTGGCTTCCTAAGAAAATCACCTGCTTCGGTTTGGGCACCTGAACAGCATCACAGCCCTAACACATATCGAATGAGATTTATGTGGCGCATATGTATTTGGTGCCTTCTTGTATCAATATCTATGTGTTCAAATAAATAAATAAATAATAATTTTATATGAAGTAGTATTTGAATTTAGCTCCTCTATCATTCATCATTTAATATGGAATAATCTTCAAAAGAGAAACAAAAGATAATTAAGCATATTCAATAGTATCATCTATGTTTCATTGTTTACAGATCAATACAATTTTCCTTACTGTTTGTTTTAATTATTCAGTTTATTGAATGATTATTTCATATATGATCGTTTATTTATTATTTTTTGTTTTTTTTTGTTTTTTTAGATTTTCATACAATAGACTTAAGCTCTGTTATACCTATTTTAGTATTGAATTTACAAAAAAATGATAATATGGTTAATATGTCTACATTTTCTGGAACTAAATCAGTTATTGCACTACAAACTGGTTTATTAAGTTAGTTTTCCATTGTTTTTTTTATTATTATTATTTAATATTGATTTTATTACTAATTATCAAGTATAATGTTTGTTTATATACAAAGTGATACGAACAGAGAAATGAATAAGCCATGATAAATAATGGAAACTATTTTTGGGTACATTATTTCATTTAATTCAAATCTTGTAATACATTAACATATTTAATTTTGTTCTTAGTTTATTCTACAGATTATAAGGTTTTGTTTGATGTATGATTCATTGCCAGAACGTTTCCTGTTCAAAATCTATTGTAATTTAAACGTAATCTTTTGTACTCTATTTTCTAATTTAATCCCCAGTTTTAGGCATAATTGTATTTTCCTAATTGTTTGTGCGTTGTGTTCTTGTTAGACATCTATTTATTCATGTATTTTTTTACACTAATCTCAATGGGAACCTAATTGGAGTGTGAATTGGAATCGGGAATAAATCGAGTAGTGTTCCGGTTGACTTGTCTTCTCTCTCTCTCTTGCCTGTTTGTCAGACAGTCAGGTGACAGAATAGTTTTCGTTTCTAGTCTCACTTCGAACTCACGCATACTAGCCTAAAGGTTGAACCCCTCAGCCGTCTTGACAAGTTCATAGTCTAGATTTTGGCAAGCTATCTTCTGCATATTAATGGGTAGACAGATCAAGGACGTAAGACAAAGATAATTTATTGTTTGAATATTGTAAGTTGATAGTATAATTCCTTCTTACTTTTGTTAAAGTCAGATATTGTACATTCATCACAATCAAAGTGTTATTCGATAACGTTGAAAATATATATCTCCTCAAAGTCACATTTTTTAGTAATTTCTAATTTAGAGAAAGGTAGACATTTCCCATTTCATCTTAAGTCTTTAATTACACTACTATCGTTCTCTCTAGCCTGCTTCAGTTTGGGCACCCGGACTGTATCATAACCCACACATAAATCAAGTGAGTTGTATGGCGCATATGAATTCGGTGCCCCTTTGTACCAACATTTATGTGTTCCCTCTATTATATATTATCAGCATTTAAGGTATTCTAAGGTTTGGACTTAAATTAACAAAGATCTGTACGGTGTTTCATTTTGTTCATCAACTGTTCTTCAGTAATACCTAAAAAAGTACTTTTAAGTCCTGATGTGGTGAGACCATAAATTATCACCGACCTTTGAGCGACGCTAAAGTGACCTTGAAAGTATCCATCTACATACTAGTGTTAAATGAGGGTTATAAACCAGTGTCAAGAATTCGGATTATGTTTTTTAGTCGATGGTTAGGGTTTAGATTTAGGTTTTTCATCACGAACTTACATCAGCTATAATGCCAAAACGCTATTTGATCAAATGGATGAATGGATTTCGCGCCAAAATCCAAGATCTATTATCGTAAATCTGATTGGCTCGTCCATAAATTATAGTCTCGCCACACTTTATTATTGATATAGTTATTTTAATATACAAATTAATAAAATAAACCTGTATATTGTTCTTTTCAATTTCGATCATATAAGTTTTCAGTAGTATATAATGAAAAATTATCATTAATGTGTTTATTTATTTTCCATTATCAAGATCGTTTATTATGTGTGATACGTACTCCGTCTCGTACTACTCATGTTCAACAAATGATCAACACTTTTAAATCTTCTGGAATTAATTCTAAAGAGAATGATGAACAAAACAATAATACTAAAATAGACTTTGTTTACTCAAATGATGAATTGGCTGGTTATTTTTCTGATAATATTGATAAAGATTATAAATTTAATAAGATTTTAGTCAATGTTCCTTGTTCAGCTGATCGTTACGCAATCACATCTGGTGCTACACATGTTTTTGAAATGGGACAAGCTCATTTACGTGCTCATTTACCGAAAATTCAGTTAAATCTTCTCCGGTGAGTTTTGGTAGAACTTTTCTAAACTGTATATGAAATAAATAAAATGCGATTGTATGGTGCACTCAAGTAAAAATTACTTACGTGATCAAATTGTTAATTCGCTGACCCCTCTCCTCATGATTAATTGAAAGGAGTCAACCCGAAAGTCTTCATTAGCATAGAACTTCTTGGCACTGACATGCATTGGCCCATGTTGTCATACTACATTAAATTTACGATATGAAGGTAATTAGGTGAATCACAATCAGAGAAGCTGAATTTTTGGAATATAGTCCAAAAAGACAGTGAAAAACAAAATATCACAAAAAAACATTGAGATTCAAAATCGATAAAATGACAGAAATTTGATGATTGGAGGTAGTAGACAAGAAATCTTGAACCTAGTTTTCGTGTTATTTGGCACTTGTTAACAAGATATGTACCTGTCATTTTGATGGAACTCATGCTCCCTAGCGAAATCGATCTCATATCATCCAATTTTGTTTTAATATATAATTACTACTGTGGTTGATTGCATAGTGTACAGTTAATGCTTTTTTTCCCTCATATTATTACATTCTTTTCTTCTGTAGTCAAGCAATGGAATTATGTCAACCTAACGGTTATGTTGTCTATTCAACATCAACATTATCACCAGGTCAAAATCAAGAAATTATTCAATCATTTATACTGAATCATTCAAAGAATCTTAATTTCACATTGATCAATTTAAAACCAATGTATGATTTATTAACTGTTTGTTATTCTAAATTAGGTATAAAAATTATTCCGATTCATTTACCTTTATTTGATAATAACAATAATATGAGTGAAAATAATCATAATACAAATCTATCTTCAAATAACACTTGTCATGGTTTATTAATTATTCCATCGATATCGTGTAACTATGGTCCAACTTTTATTGTTAAATTTAAACGTCTTTCTTAATTGATTTTTTTCAATTGGATAACTTTGTTGCTATGTAAATTTGTTTATGATATTTGTAAATATATATTTTAGTATTATTATTTTTAATGTTATTTTATACATTTCTGATCATTCGACTATTTGTAATGGAATGTTGACATTGGTAAATTTAATTGTGTAACTATCAAAAATGAGGAAGTATTGGACAGTTTTTTCATTCTATTATATAACTCTTCAACAGTTCCCATCTATAATTCAACGGGGAATCGAATATAGATTCCTAGGTTTCGTAGCTAGTGTTTAACATTTAGACCACTAAGTCGTTACTCAGTAGTATATATTTATATATCAATTAATGAGATTGCTTGATCATCTTACGCTGTTATTGAAAGGTAGCCGTCTCATACCTGACTTAGTTAAGCTGCACTAGTCATAGCTTCTCACTGCGACTACAGGGAAATTGGTTTTCATTAACGATCTATATTATTATTTGAAGAATTATAAGACATACTAGATGAAGATATCTTTTTAGTCTGGAATTCATCAGTGTCTCACACACACATACACATGACCGTTCAGGATTCTGCCAAGAACATGGTAATCATCACGAATTGACTGAAGTTAGTAAATATTGGTCAGTAGATATCGAATGTTTAATTGAATGATACATTACTGATTATGTGACTTTGAAGATCTTGTACTTGATGTTGCGCATATATTAAAAACTGAAATCAGTTCTCTAATGAAACATTCGTGTACATTACTTAACACTTGAGCGTAATTCAAATACATATATTTAACCTAGTTCGAACTCGTATATTCTTTATTGTAATGTGTTTTTGAATGCCATTAGTAATAATCGTTCAAACGAAAGAGCTACATATGAGCCTAGAACTTGTTTAACAGCTTGGTGTTTAGCATCATCATCCTCAGAAATAGTTACGTAATAATATGTTCAAAGAGTAATCTACTTTAGGCGCAACAATTTTATAACGATTAACTGCTGGTGGCTGGTGAAATATCAGCATAGAATACTGAAGTCTCGTTTAACTTTTACCAGCTTACGGTGTTCGTAATTCGAATGAAATATCCACTTATATATCAAAGAACAAGTACATTGGGGACTACTGTATTGTGTATTACTTTATGGCTGGAAAACGTGGGGTATGGAAGTAAAATATTTGAGTAGGTTCCTATTGTTTGATTATGTATATCTTCAAAGCATTGCTCGTGTATGGTAGATTCATTGAGTGAGTAATGCTAATGTTAAGTGTAAGGGTTTAAGTAGAAATGCTAAGTTGATTGATCAAGTTGTAAACCTTCATTGTACACGTTACACAAGCTCAGTCACTTTACCTGAATATCCTTTTTATCTATGGCATGAACAAGGCGAAATGAAGCTAGGGTATGTAAAATAGAAATAGCACCAGTCCATTAGGCTTTTGATCACAAATCTGATCCGTTTGGTAAGGTGTAGACATCCAGGTTGAAATCTATCCAATGATCATAATTTATACTTGATTGAGAAATCTTAAAGTTAATCGCGGTGTTGTACTTGCAATCACAGAGTTCCTCTATAAATGTTAAGCTTATTGTTTCGAACTTTGTTTCAGTACTCGGTATAATATTTTCAGCCATTTGCTTCTAATTTTGTTAGTTTCCTCTTTTCTTTGTGGTAATGTGATACGTACCCATTTAGATGGATGAACCCATTCCAGTTAGATCCCACATTGTGGATGATTAACTGTCAGATTCTTAATATATAAATGTACGATGAATAATTTTAAAGTTTGAGTCACCAATGCTGTATAATCACCCCTTAGATATGAAAACCATGCCTTCTCCACCGCGCGTCATCTCACTTCTCTTCTCTTTGTTCGTTTATTTGGATCAACGATTGTGTGAAATATACGTGTTCGAAATTCCTTCTCGTATTTGATTTATATAATTCCGTTATTCACTAATGTGATTTAAAACGATGGTTGGCGATATGTTTATTTCAATAACATTCATACGATCCAATTGGACTCAAATATCGGGCCACAAAATAGTCATGTAGATTTCCCATTTGAACTGACGACTGACAGTGTGAATTAGAGTTGAAACCAGTATCTCTCTTCTTGTTCCTTCTAATCTATCATTACTTGGTGTGTTTATTGCGATAGTTCAACGTCTAGGGAAATGTGTAACTACCATCTTTTCTGTCGATGATATGAAATCTATCGAGACCCTGTACTCATATTTGAACTGAATCTTATAAGCATGGACATACCAATGAACTATTATACAATAGCTTTCAAAAATACAAAACTATCCAACGATCCTTGGACACTTAGACGTATTATTCATCCATACAACTTCAATTTCTCATCTTTTCATTATGAGATAAACAAAGTTTAATAAATGAAAATTTTTTAGACTGAACAATATAACAGATTAAAATATCCTCATTTTGAATGTTCTGTATACCTATTCCAACTTGTCACACGTTTACACTATTTCACACTATATAATCACACTGATCAAACTAATGCCACATGGTAATTCAGATTTGACATATTTACGTAATCACTTTATAATATCGAAACCAAAACTTAAAATGTTTACAAATAAAAATTGTGTAACCGACTAAACATTTACGATCTTGCGTGCGGGATTCGAACCCAGGACTTTCGAGGTCGTGGATGCACACAGCTCAGAAGTCCCATAATAGAACAAGACAGCCGTCTAATTCTTCCAGGTTTTCAATGGTGATCTATCTTAAATCGACTTATGAATTCAACTATTAAATTACTATCATCTCCTTAAACTTTCATTCTGATAATAACCTATTAAGCTCTTATAGACTGCGTGAAGTCGATGTTTTTTTGTCCTGAATACTTTTAATATTAATTGAATGAAGAAGGGAACACTAACATGAATTACTAATATAATTCATTTTAAGAAAATCACATTAAATTACAATTATTCACCAAGTATATTTTATTATATACATTTAAATGTTAATATTAATTTGTAAATTGTATAGGACAATTGAATTCTTTCGATGTAAATAATTTGAATGTATACTGATTTGATGTAATGAATTTCATAAAATTTTGCCGAATTTGTTCAATAAGATTGAGTACTTTCGGGGATTCATTCTTTCAATGATAATAATAAGTCATAATGGTAATAGAATAGTTTGTTTTAAAAGAGAAAATAGTTTTAAATACAAATAAACATAAAAACAAAACTATATAGACCGCCATGTGTATTTCGATTCGATTTTCGCACAAAATTCAAAATACAATGAAGAATTTCAATCGTTGAAGTCATGAGTCAATTAAGGTTAGACCACCATGAAAAACCTGGAAGCACTGGACAGCCGTTTCGTCCTATTGTGGGACTCCTCAGCAGTGCGCATCCCGACCCGCGAGATTCAGACCCAAGACCTACCGGTCTTGCGCGTGAACGCTTAACCATTAGACCACTGAGCCCGCCAGTATCCAACGGTGTTAATGTCTAATTTCAACCAATCCACGAAATTGCGCCACCGTACACCATTGTCTTCAGTGGGCCGTCCAGTGCTTGCAGGTTTTCCATAGTGGTCTGGTTTCAATTGACTCATGATTTCAACAATTGAAATTTCTAAAAGTCTCCAAAAAACCTCTTCTGACAATAAAGAATACTATTTATCTTACTAACTAAAGATTATTGTTGTTTTAGTTCGGGAATTGATAAAATTGTATTTTGTACAATTACACATAATAAATATGAAATGATATGTAAACTAGACTAGGGAAAATACCTGCTTACGATTGTATTTTAGTTTACCCAATGTGAATTACGATAGAATCAATGATGTTTTGTGGATAAAATGTATTCTCCCACTTTAATTAGATTTTATGATCGTAACATCTAACTCTATAATCTTTTGCTTATTAAAAACAGTCAATCAGTATTAATCATATCAAAACTATTTAACCAACGTAAATTTGTCATTATAACTAGAGGTGTTTGGTGACTAGCAGTGGAATTTAAGATATTCGTTTCATTCTGTTTAGGACTTGTTATTTAGTTCTGGAGTGAACATCAACTTTGAGATGCAGGTTGATCCAGCTAACGATTTCCAGAGGGGATGAGACGAACTTCCTGAATTTTACTGCCAGCCATCATCCAGTTTTGCTTACAATGCTTGTCACATAAGGTGATAGAGAAGCGATTCGCACGTTATGCACATATGCCAACAAGAGACTGATCAATTGCAGTCCTAAATAATAATGGGAAGATTCAAGTAAACAATACCAAGTGGATTTAGACTTCCCCCCATTGCACAAGCAGGTGGTTGTCAGGGCCCAATAGCTAAATGGATAACGCGATGGAATTTTAAGAGAACGGTACTGGGTTCGAGTGCCAGAGTGAACATCAACTCAAGTATAGGCACGTCCAGCTGACGAGTCCCAAATAGAACTTTGTATATAATGCTTGTGATTTGAGGCTATATCGAGGAAATATGCACAGACTGATCAAATTGCAGTCCTAAATAACAATGGGAAGACACAAGCAAACAACACCAAGTGAATTTATATCTATTGCTAAGTTGAACAATAATACTAACCAACATAGTATGGAATATATTTCAGTTTTCTGCAATAAAATAATCTTACCTCAAACTGTTGTGAACTCATAATACAGGGGAATTCAATATCCTGTAACCACAGAAGAGGATAAATTACTCTTCTAAAATGATCTGAATATAATTTCTTCAAATATTCAGAATCTTTCTGTGAAATAATAAATAAAAGATAAAAATTGACGCATTTTCATAACCTTCTAGGGTTAATTTTGATTCTTTTCATTTGTAAATAGTATTCGACACTTGATTTACTTGTACGAAAATGATGAAATATTTATATGATTGATTAAATAGTCATAATGTATTCAGGAAGCCTTGGAGTGTTAAAGAATATGTGAGTTAGAAATAATAATCGATTACTCATATCAGTGTAAATGCTGTACATCTTGAAATTTAACTAGAAAATTAGCTTAATTCTCTTTATTATTTCAGTTGATTAAAATAAATAGTTCTAAATATCTAATGATACTAATCAATTTCTCAGATGATCAACACAGAAGTGGTATACAAACAATTGGATTTAAATAGGAAGATATACTTTGAAAACATGTTAAGGTAATATACTAGAGAAACCTAATAGATAAAATGCCTATTCATGATAATGCAAAAGGTGAAAAATAAGTGTTTTCATGCATCTTGAATTTCTATTAGTGAGCGAATTTAAAACTATCCTAAAGTTATAAACTGGATTACTCTGTTCTCAGTAATAAAGCTTACTGAGTTGAATTGGTCTTTTCTTTTTGTATATTTTGGTTGATCAGGTGTAGAATAGTGCATCAGTAAGTGAATTAAACAGGAGAATATAACAAAAACATCACATTTCCATTAATTTAGAGAAACTGTTTTACCTTACTATTGCCTGGAATTTCTTTCAGACGATCTTGCCACGAAACCTATCGAATAAAATCAAGGAGAATAGAGAACAGATAAATATTCTACTTGGTTTTGATAAAATATATGAGACTGAGAGAAGCTTTACGCTCAATTAATGAATTCATCAACACTAAAGAGTAAAAGGTTGAGTTCATATCTGCTTAGAAAAACACACACAAAAACTTATGACTTCATAGATTGACGTCATGCAATCTCGAAATAAATAGGGCTTTATTTATGGAAATTCCCAATTGCCTGAAAGATTATATCCATCTTGTCTCATCAAGGTTATGTGAAACTGATGGACTTTTGGTTCAATACGAAAATGTCTCTTTAATGTTTAGTAATGATTGTCGGTGCGTCTGCTGAAAAGTAGTTCAACCATTACGTTCGATCATTCTGTCTACTAAAATAGTGTTAGTCATCTGAGATTGCTTATGGTCCTTTAACTGCTTGACAGAAATGAAAAGGTGGTATCGGCATGAAATGTAGACGACTGAAAGTGAAATAGTGATGAAAATGAAGAGCCTTAGTTCTGTGGCTTCCATGAGGTGTTTATAACAATAAGAGAAGAGACATTGGTATAAAAGATATAAGATATTCATTCGTATAAACAATAGCTTTAGATAGAACCTCAATGCTAAACTTACAGGAATTCGACCCAAATAAAACTTTAATTGGTTCATTTAAAAATCCTGGAGATGGTGGATAAATTTATCAAAAAATAAAGATTTTCTACGATATTGAAGGTTAAAACATTTTAAAAACTTGTCTTCTAACAACTAAACATCATTTCTTATCAATTATGCTAACATAATATTAAATTAGTTTAACACTTACACGTAGACATTCAATAAGTAATGGACAATCTGCAACAATAGGAAATAATGCAACTTCTGGTTGAACATAACGTAAAATTAATTGATCTTTATCATCGGTTCTTCCAAAACCAGGGAATATATTAGCTAAGAAATCACGATGATAACTGAGAAATGGTGCATAACCAACTAGACCAATTAGAATGTCAGGTAAAGAGCTGAAAATCCATTTATTGAAGAATGATATTAGATTTTTAATAAAAATACAAACCTTATATACGCTGCATCAGTTTAGAATTACTATGTAAAAATTGACTGAATATTTAATTGTGATTGACCTTACAATAAAGCAAGTTGTGTAATTGTTGAGGACGTTAGATCCTCAGAACTCATTTGAAAAAGATCCTAATTTTGTAATTTTATTCTGAAAATTTGAATTTTAAGTTTTCGCGCCAGGAGACGCTTAGTTGACCTACAGTTTACGTTTCCCACTCGGAAATTCTCGACTGTCATTGGCTTACGGATTTTTTTAATACGCTATTTTGTGGCTCTCCTAAGAACGTTTTTGTCATGGTATAAATAAGCTTGATTTGTGTGCTTAGTGACCTCGTATTTTCTGGGTGTTTTTAGAATGCATTCTTTGCGCCTCATCAAAGCATCTTCATCTAGTTATCAGGGCCGGGGACAACAGATTAGAATAGCCTATCGTGTCACTGTATCTTTGACCTTCGTTCCGTTTACCGAGTAAGGTGAATTCGTAATAGCATTCAAGCATATTAGTAATAGGATTACATAGAATATGTAACGTTCTGATAAAAAATCTATGACGAAAATACTTTTAATTAATTAGCTAAGAGTCTAGAATCTCAAATTTTAATTTAAGAAACTGCTGTCAGTTGGTATTTGATAATGAATCAACTACATTTGGTATGTCGATATTCCGCTTATTATGAGCTTCATTTTGATTAATAGATTATAATTGTACGATTTACTGTTCTTAAGTTATACTCAGCTATTGATTACCGTCTCCCACGTTCATAAACACTTTTTGGCTTGATTTTGTATAAACGTTATTTCCTATTTTATGGTGTGATGCGGTCTGTTTGGCCGGTATATAAACTAAGTATGTTTGAAATAAATGATTCTCATAGTGGAAGCTGTTATTTGGTGTTCTAGATTCAACTGGATGGGCTAGGTGAGCAAAGGATCAAAAAGGACGTTAGGCTGCTCATACCGATCGAACGTCATTGGTTTAGCACAATACTAAAATTGAATAAGTCGTATTTCGATTGGTAATAAAAAGTCGGCCTTAAAGCCACAACATCTTTGTAAACTATCAGTTAACATTCATTTGGTATTGTTTGCGTGTATCTTCCCAATTATTGTTTATGACTGCAATTAATCAGTCTTTTGTTGACATATATATATCCTGTGCCGACTGCCTCGATACACTATTCAAACAATCGTTAATATTCTTTACACATAAATTTCATGATAAAAGAGAATACTGTTACTTAGAAAGTGATCAGAACAGATAAAATATCCCTAATAATAATAATAAACTATAAATTTACCAAACGAATTGTACCATATTTAATACAAGTAATTACTTTAATTTTTCTTGTTGTTCTTTATTCGGTTGACTAAATCGAATTGTTACTTGAGTTGTTTTATTAAAAAGTAAATTTTGCATACGACTCTTTAAACTCACTGAAAAGATAAAACATGGTTAGGATATATATCAGTGAATTATTTGTAGAGAATTGAGTTTTCACTCATTAACTTGTTTACAATATTCAACATATGGTACTTCTCCGTTCATTTAGTAAGTTAGTGAGTATCGACTCTATGGTGAATGAAGAACTCATGTAGGGGAAACCAATTTATTGTTTTCATACAATAGTATAAGCATACATTGAATACATTATTTGCATATTTTCTATCAGTTTTCTTTTTATATGCTTTATAATTCCTTGAATTTTGTTGTTATTAACATTGCAGTCTGTTTGCATTCCTGTTCTCTTTAATTCAGTCTTCTGCTGGCAGGCATTCCAATTCTGATAAGTGTTAAATACTACTTATATATGTTAACATAAATAGTATACACCACATGTGTATGGGTATACTTTTTATTTGGCGATTTAATTTTAGCCTCTGACTTTCATATTAATTGCTTTTTTCCACTCAATAAGTTGACATGAGTTACAGTGGCATGTTCGTAGAGAACATATCGATATAACTTCAAATGATTTCAATGAAACCCTCAATAAAAACTGTATTATATATTCATCTATCAAATAAATATAAAAACACTCGAAGATATTGTTTGTTAAATTCGATCGTCATTAAGCTTTACTCTAATATACAAGATGTATGACAGTGGTCAGTCGTTAGATAAAAACCAATCATATCTATTGGTCCATTATATAATTTCGTCGTTGCTCAATAGTTTTTGAGCTTGTCTCTTACATATAACATGAGCTAAAGAATCTTAGTTTGTAATCTTAGTCTATGTGTTCAGAAAGAATTCATGACACTTTTATCTCTTCCTTGACCGTATATAGCTTCATAAATAACTTTTAACTTTTTCTTAAATCTTATATTTATTTGTAGTTCTTCAGCTACTATCCTTTATATTCTTCACCATCTCGTTATTTACACGCTTTTAACTACATAAAATGGATAATTTTTGGTAATCATTATTTCAATATCTGTATTTTCTTTTAAATTTTGACCTACATTCCATGTTGAACTATTGACTAGGACTTTTATTATTATTATCATCATCACTACTAGAACACTTGTCTTATCACCATCAATTTGTACTTTCTACCTACTATGCATAGTTATGCAATTTAGTTCATTGTGGTCACTGACTAACTAATTATCTTGACTAGTTTAATATTTTCATGTATCCATATAAATATTCCTGTATATCAGAGTAATGGAGATAGACATGAGAAAAATCAAAAAGAATTGGATGGAACTAGAAAAGAATGCCCAGAACAGAGTGGGTTGAAGAATGCTGGTCGGCGGCCTATGCTCCATTAGGAGTAACAGGCGTAAGTAACTAATATCAGCGTAAAGATAGATGAAGTTCGAATTCAAAAAACAATACCGTTTTTTTTGTATATGTTGTTCTAATTTTCGTAGTAGGTATCTTCTTTATTTATATAATAGATTATTGAAATCATGGACTAATCTAATTTACATAACCACTAAAAACCTAGAAGTACTGGACAACCGTTTCATCCCACTATGGGACTTCTCAGAAGTGCTCACTGGAGACCTCATACACGAGTATCAAACCTCTCAAAAATCAAAATGTTACGGGATGTTACAGGTATTTAAAAATTTAAATTATTTCCTGTTATATTCCTAATCTTCATTAAATGAGTAGAAGATTTTGATAATATTTATTCCTGATTCACTTCAGATTTCAAAGTGTAACTAACTATGGATACCAGTGTTGATTATAAATCAGTATTATAATCATATGACTTCTTAGTGACTGAATTAAGCCTCATTTCATTTGTCTTATTGTAAGTAGACCTTATGGTTCTCTAGAATTAGATTTAGCTCTAACATTTATTTAATCATGAATTTGATTATTTGATTGACTATTTTCTTTTACGGTGTTTTGTATGAACTAATGTGATAATTGTTGTCTTTTGAACAAGAATTGATGTGAATAGTAATATCAAGTCAACCTAATTAGTCAAGTCATAAGACGTCAGTAACTGAGACAAGTGGAAGTAACCGTATCTTATGTAAAAAAAGATACAAAAGACATTTCATGCTCAGACAGTATCGCAGACTGATTAAAGTTAGGCATTAACACCGTTGCATGCTGACTCAACAGTCTAAAGTTTAATCTTTCGCGCAAGAGACCGGAGATCTTGGGTTCGATTACCGTTTGAGAGATGATGGATGCGTAATGTTGAGAATTCTCATGTTGGGGTGAAATGGACGTCCAGTACTTTTAGGTTTCAAGCGGTTGTGTAAATAAGATTGGTCGATGATTTTAACGAAATTCTTAAAATTACTTTACTCAAAGATTCCATTCATGCTCATTACCTATTGTGTTAAAAAAAAGACATCCGAAGTCTATTAGTATTATTGTTCTTATCACTTAGCATGAACACACGCAGGATCAGCATTATTATCATTTGTATTTGGTGACTTTAATTTACAATACTTACCATCTTTAACTGATGTCTTATTCCCCTTTCCATTTTCAAAAGGTAAACTATCCTGCAATTGGTAGTCACAAGTTCTAAAATCAAAAAGTATCAATTTCATTTAGAGTTTTATTAAATATAACACACTCACTTATTTGGTATAATTTGACCGTTTTCATCATATAATGGAATAGTGACCCATCCAAGACTTAGTTCAATTGGTTGGTTAGAATTCTACGTGATGAAATAAAGGACAAATTATGGAAAACAAATTGAATAAAAACACACAATTTAAAGTAGAACTACATATTTCTGATACATGTATATATGGATATTTGTGATATGTTTCACTCCCCCCAGTATTCAAAGTATTCCTCTATGACTGGCCTGAGTCATTGCCTGAATTAATGATAGAAAGTGAAGTAGTTGAGTGTATTGAATCTCATCAGTCCTGATAGGCTATTATTTGACGAAATCTCGGCACGGATTCAGAAAGCCGTTTTGGTTTTTACCAACTTGCATCGCTTATGGTAAGTTATCCGTCTACCAACCAATGGACAGTTTCACTGAACAGCAGTTCATTCGGTTCTACCTTATTTACAAGAAACATTTATCTTCATTTTATTCACGCTGTGACATTTTTTATTCATATCACTTATAAAAATTACATGTTTTCTTAATATTCACCGACCGAAGACAATATATAATGAATGAAATTTCGCATTCCCATTCACGTATACACACAGTCTATTATCTTAGCACTGTTCGTTACACACCACATGTCTCTCATACACTAATGCAACTACCAACTTTAAACATTGTTAACCTTAACTGAATGACCTATTCAGTATACAGTGAACCGGCGAACCATGTACTTATATGTATTTGATAATTTTGATGTTTGATTATATTTCCTTGGAAAAAACCTTGAAGAAGATTGCTAGATGAAACGTTGGATTTACTTCAAATTCATTCGTTGAGATTTTACAAATACATTCTCCTTCTTCAATGTCTGAGACAATATAGTTATAATTTCTATCTATTCGGTGAAACTATGATTTATGAACGAACCAATCAGATTTACGATAACGGGTCTTAGATTCTAGTGCTAAATTCATTCATCCATTTGGTTAAATAGAGTTTTGGCATTATAGCTGATGTCAATTCGTGATGAAAAACCGTAAATCTAATTTTTAACACTAACCATCAACTGTAAATCATAATCCTTATTCTTTAAACTTTTTATAACCTTTATTTCGCCCTAATAAGTTTTTAGACGCTCTCAATGTCACTTTAAAGTCGTTCAATGATCATTCATCAATTATAATCTCACCATTTATTCTTTTAATCCATAATTTTCAAGTATTATTTAATGATTTTCAATGGTTAAGATTATGAGTCGATTGATGTTAGACTACCATTGAAAACCTGGAAGCACTGGACGGCCGTTTCGTCCTGTTGTGGGACTCATCAACGGTGCGCATCCACGAATAGAAATAAATAAATTTGATTTAAATAAACATGGATCAAATCACAATTTATTTTACCTGTTTACTAATAATAATTTGAATTTCTATCAATATACAAATATTCATATTTTGATCATTATAACGTATAAATAAATCTGAGGATAATTCATAAAATTTTTCAGATTTTTTTATATTCTATAATTAATAAGAAAATAAAACAAAAAAAGAAAAACTTTTTTTCTCAAGTGCTACGTTTGAAGCGATTACGAATTCAATTAGTCTGCGAACGGAAACAAAAACTTGTGACCAAATACCAAAAAACTAGTTATTCTATTGCATCCCAGCCCCGTTAATTAGAAAGAGAAATAGAAGTTTGAACGGGGAAGTATATTCTGCAAAAAAGCCAGAAACAATAACAATAACAACAGACACAAATCAAACCGTATATATACAGCACAAAACCATCCTTAGGAAGCGTTACAAAATAGCATACTAAATGATACAACAGACCAATGGCGTTTAAGATTCTCCTAATTAGGAAATACGACATGAAGGTGAAAAGAACGCTTTTGGTGCGAAAACAAAGAAATTCAAATTTTATAAACAAGATTACGAAACTACGTCCTTTTCCAAATGAGTTCTGGGGATCTAATGTCCCCAACATCAAGGTGAATGTTTTCTTTTTCTTTTTAAATCGCCAAATAAAAAGGTTTAATATTAATTTAAATAAACAACAACAACAACAAGAAACTAATAGAATGTAAACTTGAAAACTATATAATTTGGGATGATGATAATACTTTTAGGATTGATATATTGTTTCTACTTAATATTGTTTAAGTTTGATAGTTTATACGTATTTTAACGCCTTCAATACGAAATAACTATTAGATCTCTATGCCCCTTTATAGTGTAATGTCAGTTACTATGTTAAGCCATTATTACCTTATTCTAGCTTCTGGATAGATCAGTTTGTCTATTCTTCTTGGGTTATGTTTTGACCTTGTGAATTATTAATTTATCAATCTTGACTGTTTTTATATGAGCGCATATATGTGTGCACTTCATATTTTTGTTCGGCTATAAATATCGACTAGTGTTTGATTAGATGGAGTTGGCTTACCTGCCTTCTCCATTATCTGCATTATTTCGCTTCGTCCCTCTAATTATCTGCCCAGATCAATGAGTATACAAAATATATGTATTCAAAAACCAATTCTTGTATTTAACTTATTTAATTCTGTTATTCATCAAGCTATTTAAGTCGATCATTACATAAATGTATTTCGATCACAAACAGCATACAATCCAATCGGAGCCAGATGTTAGGCCACTAAAATAGTGAATTCGTTTACAATATCGTCCGATCTAATTGACGTCAAGACGAAGGGTTCCACAATAATTAGTCTACAAATGTACTAAAAATTATCTTTGAAGTATTCAGCCCTTCACTAACCACTGAAGTGAATAATAATAATAATAATGTCTGTTTGTCATAGTTTACAATCATTTGTGAGAATCCAGTCTATTAAAACTTACTAATAATACACTGTCCTATAAATAACTTCTACCAACATGATCACGTACAATATAAACGTAACAGATCTACATTATTACATTTCATTTCGCATAGATCATCAATTATTATTCTGTAGTCCAATGTGAAACTCAAGTCAAGAATTAATCATCTAATAAAGTATTTAATCAGTATACATAACATGTTGTTAATTTATTTGTTGATCAACACATACGTATTTTTTTGAAATCATAGACCGATCAAATTTACATAACCAATAAAACCTTATAAGTGTCAAACGACCGTTTCGTCTAAGTACAGGAATCCTCAACAGTGCGCATTCACCATCCCTAAAACGGTATTAGTACCCAAGATCTCTGGTCTCTCGCACGAACAAAACTGTGCTAATGTCAAAAGTCAATCGATTTACAATATTGTATGGCTATCTTCCATTGTTTACGGTGGGAAACTGCCTTATCTTAGATACGATTTAGTTCAGCTGGTCACGGCTTCTTAACAGAAATCTGGAAATTTTCTGATGAAGCCAGTCACTAGTGAGCACATGATAATTATCCTATGGAAGTCTAACTTAAATCGGTTCATAAATTAAGTGAAATTCAATAATCTTCATAGCATCTTACTAAAATTTTATGTATTCATTTTGATGAATTCCAACAGACAGTACAATACATCAATGTTTTTATGTTGTAACACTTGGTTGAAATTATGCACATCAGGTTTGTCATAAGAAAAAAATATCCAAGAGCCTAATGCTAGTAGATTAAAGGACAATATCTTGAGTGTTCATTTTTGAAACCGATGCTGTGAAACCATATTTTTATAGTGATTTTGAAAGCGTTATAACTCATTTTGATGTTTGATATCACTTTCAACCTATTAATAAGTGGTTTGTATAAATCAAGAGTATTTCTCTAGAAATTAATGAGCTTTAAACAAGTATAGAGGTTTTACATTATGTGTAAATGTTTTTATTCACGTTTTGTAATCAGTATTCAGATCTTAATAGTTAAAAAAGAATGTTTACTATGTAGACTCATTTACTCAATTGGAATAAAACGTCTTTCAGAATAATTTATAAGACTGAAACAAATGTATAGAATGTATGTTTAATTTACATATGCGCCACACAAATCTCATTCGATATGTGTGAGGGCTGTGATGCTGTCCAGTTGCCCAAACCGAAGCAGGTGGTTTTCTTAGGGGGCCGCTCCACGAGCCTTCAACCTGAATGTCTGGTCCACAAGGCAGAGGAGCATCGTAAGGAGATGCAGTCCCATGGAAGCCGGTGACCAACAATCGGTTCATACGCCATTTGTTCCCGCAGGATACTGGAGCCCATGTGCACCATTGGTTTGGAATCCGGTTAAAACGCTGGACATTTGTTTTTCTTCCTCTCATTTTCGTAAACGACACCCCCGCCGCGAGAAGGCAGTGAGTAGGACTTCCCTGGCAGAGGCTATATACGCGTAGCCATGTGAGAGCATTTCAAGAGGGAGAACGGACTCTCCCCACTCTCGGCCGTACCAGGGCATTTTGGGGCTTCACAGTTATATAATATACCATTGTGGGCCAGGGTAATATTACATTGGTTTTCAGGAGAATCAGATACCATCCGGAATTTCAAGTAAAACCTCACGCAGTACAGCTCAACCCCGTTTAGCAGGAGAACCAGACACCGTACAGGCTTTAACGCTACAATCTGAATAGTACAGCTCAATCCTGTGGCGCAACCACACAGGTACCAAGCACCCTGGTGGACCATGTTCAATTTATATAAATTGTATTCTATTAAAGTAACTATTATTCACTAGGTCAATAAAATTATGCATTAATTCAAACGTTAAAGCAAGAACTCAATAATTTATGTGTTTTATATACAGGTTACGTCATAAAAAGTAAATGTTGACAATATTTTTTTCTCTTTAACACTATGAGATATCCTATGCTTTTTATGTATAATAGAAAGTTATTTTACTAGTTGTAAGTATATACTGAGTACTGTGGTTAAAGGTTCATATTCTACTAAGTTTTAGATCAAATAAATGATAATTAAACAAAAAAACTTGTGGATCTTTTCTCTGATTCTAGCTGGTTTATCATTATTGTTAAGTTTGTTTACGTTCTCTGTCTTTATTCTATTTCCAATCAACTCTTTTGTGTATTGTTTTATACTACTTATTATTATTCAGTAAATAGTTGTATTGCTAGAAATTTCTACATGTATGTTGTAATGTAAGTTTATCGTGTAATATTCTAAAATATTTACATGTACTTATAACGTTTATAGTATTTATTTCTTCTAATCCCTGTAGCAGTTACTTTCAGTTTTCGTGTCGTCTTTTAGTCCATTTTTTTAAACGTAATGGTGTCCATATCATTTGTCCATGGTCCCGTTTTTGCTTGTTGATAAACTGTTGTCAAGTTTAGACACAACTTCAGCTGTCATTTACACTGTTGTATGTTAAAATTATTCTTTATGTTACATTTGCAAGAATTCTTTTTTATTTTAGATTTACAGACACAATAAACGCCACAGATATTTTACAAGTTGCGGTTCGTAACTAATTTATGTATATTATTCAATAAAGGACAACTTTTTTTAAAGACAAATTGCCATTTTTGTGAACTTCGTTTTCGCGAGTATCATCGTTGTGTGATTTAGATGCTTCGATCGATTCACCGGTTATTCTTCTACTAACTAGGTTTCTTTCGCTCGAAATTTTTTGAAACTAAATGTATATGAATGAAATTGTGACGAAATACCATGTCAGTAAAATTGATTGTGTTTTATCATCATTTCTATTCATCAGATATTAAAATAAAACGGGAATAGCATGAATTTATAATACCATGTTAATAAGTATCTTACATGTGGAGTAACTATCCATGTTTTCTTTTCACGATCTGTCGGTGTTATAGGTAGATAACAAATATTACTGATAGGCTATAAAAAAAGGTAGTTTTAAAATAAAAGACAAATAAATAGTGTCAGTCATGTAAACAAGAACAACATTTATATCACTAAACTTAGTCAGTTATAAATAACGGATGAAAAGAAATGTAGCAGTTAAAGTTGCCACATTTCAGAAAAGCACAGTCAAAATTAAAATTGTGAATATTAGGAAGATAAAATTTAGAAAATTGTAGAAATACTGAAATAGATTGTAGTTATAAACTAAGCATCTGATCGTGGATACATACTGCTGAAGAATCGCATTCAAGGACGAAATGACCGTCCTGTACTTCCAGGTTTTTAATGATGTTATAGCATAGATCGACTCATAAATTCATCTGTCTAAAATTACTAGAACCTCTACAAAATTCTCATTTTGATGTGATAAATATTTCGTAAAAGGGAAAAACAAAATTGTGAAATGAAAAGAATAACTTAATAATTGTGAAGTTAAAAGCAATAATGTCTCTACTTCACTGTGGTGGATTGTATGTTTTGTTGTTTAAAGTTTTTAAAATTTCAATTACAATCACTTTGAGAGATTCGACTGGAAATTTTCAAAAAAAATTGATGTAATTCACATTAGCATTCGAGGGCTTAATGGGTTGTTAGGTGGTTGAGGGAGGTTGTGACAGAAAATCTGTTAATGTACGTTTGATACTAGTTGGTTCTCGCCAGCAAATTATAGCTGTATGCCTAACCATCGACTACCCCGATGTGTGGTGTTTTATGATGTAGGAGTAGAATGGAAGAAAGCTAGGGGCAGCCAGACCAAAACATGGCATAAATCCATGAAGTCACTGACAAGTTGACTGAAACATGTTGGTAGATGTAGACTAACTCGTTGTGATCCGCGAGACGATAGTAACCGATGATTAAAGACCTTGGATGATATGCCTCAGAATCGTTCGCAATGGCGCAGGTGCATCCACTCTTTTTGTTCTCCTAAATCCTAATCTTCTGAAATCTTCATTTGTCTCTCTTTTTCTCTTTCCACATTTATCTCACTAGATTATACTCCATGAATAACGTATTCAAACTCTAATCTTTCCAATGACTGCTTATACTCTTACCACCTCTACCACTATGGGATTTGAATCGACAATTGTATCTGCGTGACAATGTGGTATGGCAACTTGAACTGATGCACGTACGTACGTAGTTCTATGTTGTTGCTGACTGACTGACTGATTGATATTATCTGTGGGAATAAAACTCTCATCCCACAACTTCAATAGTCTTAAACGTGGCGCTGATGGAGTGATGTCATATGTTAGTTTGATTGTGCTTAGGTTCTTTTACAATATGCACCTAGGGTAGCCATACAAATAGATTATGACAGGTTCTCTATTATAACGTTAACGTGGTTTATTATATCTTTAAAATAAACAAAGCTACACATTCTCTTAGAATCATTTACTTGCATCTATCAATCATTCGTCTGTAACTTTAAATTTTTATATGTTTACTTATCACTCACCGTATTCATTACCTGTCTCCAGTTAACTATTATCTATCTGACCATTAATAATCAATCACGCTTACTAAAATTGAACAGATAAAGTTGCTATTACTGTATTTCTACAAGAATACATGCCTGAATTATGTACATTTAGTATCTGGCTTTTAATACTACCATTATATAGTAGGGTTAGCTTAAACATGATATCCAAGATTAAAGAGAGAATTTAGGTTTCACACCGTTCATTCAACATCCCTTGTCGATGATAATTTGAGTCTGTGACTGTCAGGCTGGATGACACGAAATCAAATTTGTCAGGGAGCATCAGTTCGTCAAGATTACAGGTACACCTTGCTGACGAGTGCTAAATAGCATGAAACCTATATCTAGGGTTTCTTGCCGACTACCTCCAATCATTATCTTATCTCAACATAGTGCATGCGATATCAAGTCACCTAGACTAGTGCCTACATTGCAACTTGATCTATAGAATTCCATTTGTACTCCGAGGAATCTGACACACTTAACATTCATTATTCATTGATCAATCCATCACTTATGGCCTATTACTAGAACTAAACAACTTCATTTCAAAGTCAATTAATAATGAGAACATTATTAATATTTGAATAAACATTTCAATATCATAACTTATATAATTCATAAGACAAAAATTCACTTACCATTATACCATCAAATAAACATAAACGTACTAAACAGTTCAATATAGATAAATCTACAAAGTTTATAATTATAAATTTAACAATGAATTGTATTAATACTTGACTCTTCCAAAATGGATAATTGTGTAATTTTTTGAATTGATATAATCTTTTGCCAACGTGGTTGACGTCGTGTTATCTGGATGTTAAAAATAGTATTCATGATTGTTTATTAAATGAAATTGTTAATTATTGAATGAAAGAAAGAAAGAAAGAACCATATCAGAACAAAATGAAGATTCTTTTATTGTTATAGATTATTAATGCTGTCTGGTTGTACATTCAAGTTTTTTGTGATCATCACAGAATTCGATCAACCTTAAGGACTGGAAAAACGTAACACTAATTACAAGTCAATTGAAGTTAAACTAACATGGAAAACCTGAAAGCACTGGATGGCCGTTTCGTCCCACTGTGGGACTCTTCAGCAGTGTGCATCCACTACCTCACCTCGCGTGATTCCAACCCATCACCTATCAGTCTCGTGAGTATGTACATAACCACTAGACCACTGAGCCAGCATCCAACAATGGTGAATGTGTCGCTCAATTTTGTGGATTAGTTGAAGTTAGACATTAACACCGTTGGATACCGGGTCAGTATTCTAGTGATAAGCGCTTGCGCGAGAGACCGATAGGTCTTGGGTTGGGATCACAGGAGGTGGGGTCGTGGATGCGCACTTCTGAGGAGTCCCACTGAAGGACGAAACGGCTGTCCAGTGCTCTCAGATTTTCCATGGTGGTCTAGCTCCAAATGACCCATGAATTCAACTTTTAAGGTTACATTATAGCCAATTTTAAATATGAATCTTAAATCTAGGTACTTTATTTATATTAAATTATTTAAACAACCATTTACTAAGTGACCATACCGTGATCACTACAAACGGAATTAATTAAGCAAACTCTATAACAATTCACATTTCAATGAATAAAAATATTAAATCTTGATCAACTTAATTCAAGATACATCAATATATTCTCAAGTTAGTGAAAAAATCTAATTTGAAATAGAATCGCTGTTTATTCTTTATATGCAAACTTTTCAATAAAAAAAAGTCTCATAAAGTTAACACTTCAATTTTCAAGTGAATTTGTGGTGTGTGTGCAACTTATATTGATATAAATAGTATATGATGTTAGTCGTGAACAGAAGGTCTGGTAGCAGAGAGACAAGAGGATCGAACAGTAAAGAATCGGAACAGAATGCAATTTGTATGAAAATGCAAGGACAATGAAGTCTGAGGCATTTACTTTATGATTTTTAGATTTGATTAACAAGTCCCTTAATTTTGTGTTAAATATGTTAGATTCTAATAACAGTACATAACTTCACCTCAATAGTGTAAAGTTATCTGTTGAGCCTGTACAATGGAAGTACTTAACTTTTCAAAATATTAATAAATGAGTGAAACTTTATCAAGTACTAAAGTGCTCTCAAGTTTTCAATGGTAGTCTGGATAAAATCAATTCGTGATCTAAATTGTGAAAGTTCTACAGTCTTCACAAATCCCGATACTATTAAAAATCACACGCTCACTAATGATAAGCTTCAATATGAAATTTCCGGAGTTTGTTAAAAAGACAAAACCAGTAGAACTAAACCGTGTCTGGGGTAAGCCAGTTTCCTACCAATGACAATGGAAGATAGCCATGAAATATCGTAGATTGATTGAACTTAAACTTTAAACGTTCGCAAGCGAGACCGAAGTTCACGGGTGCGAATTTGTGAATGCACACTGCTGAAGATTTCCATACTAACGCTAAACAACCTTTCATTACTCCTAGGTTCTCAATGGTACTCTAGTTAAGATCAGTTCATGATTTAAATTTAAAAAATTAAAGTGTTCCAATAAAGAATTACTTTTTAAACATACCTTTTTACTATCAGTGTCTAAAAGTATATCTGTAAAAATTAAGTGAGAGTTTCCAAGTTTTGGTGATAAAAATTTTTGATAGTTATATGATGCTAATCCTAAACAAAATGAAAGAATATACATATTAGATTTATTGAAATAGATTTTCATAACTGTTCATATACTACCTTTGAAATCTGTTACTATAAAAAGTGGAATATATAGTATAACCCTATAGATGTTTATTAAGTTTTTGATTGAGATGATAAACCGATTGATGTTAGATCACCACTGAAAACCAGGAAGCACTCGATGGCCGTTTCATTCTATTGTGGGACTCTTCAGCAGTGAGCATTCACGATCCCGCTAGCGGGATTCGAACCCAGGGTCTTTGGTTTCCCACGCAAGAGCTTAACCACTAGAGCACTGAGCCGGTATCCAACGGTGTTAATGTCTAACTCCAACCAATCCACGAAATTGCGCCACCGTTCATCATTGTCTCAGTGGTCTGATGTTTAAGCGTGAAACTGATAGATGCTGGGTTCGAATCTCGTGAGGCGCGACTGTGGATGAGTTCTGTCGAGGACTTCCATACTAGGACGAAACGGCCGTCCAGCGCTTCCAGGTTTTCCATGGTAGTCTAGCTTCAGCAGACTCGTGATTTCAACTATTGAGATTATTATATACTTGAAATAAAATCAATATTTACGTTGATAAATCAGTGAAACTATGATCAAAATTTTATTTTATAAAAATGATTTACCTTAAATTCTACTAACTTACCTGGTAATGAAAGAAAGCTTAAACGAACACTGCTTGGTAGAGGTTGATAAGCTTCGAGAGCTTTTTCATTATTCTGATCAAAACAAAAAGAAACAAATGAAAAACGTTCTTTCTAAAATTCGTTCAGCAAAAAAGTACTAAGTGTAATTCTCGCATTCTAAATGTTCATTCACTTTTATTATATCAGAACAATATAATCAGTTGGATGTAAACCTCTCACAAAAAACAACTAATTAATTGGAGTTACATTTGAAATCGAATTTTACCTGTCAATAAGTATTTATAACCCAAAGCTTAGTATATTCCTAATGAATAACTTAAATCGGCAACTGAAAGACACGGTGCACTGTTTCACCGAACGACGCCCGATATGGGGCTCGGACCTACGACCCAGAGTAAGAGTCTCATGCTCTACCGACTGGGCTGACCTTCACGTTTTCAAGCTTGTGATTTGTTGCATGGTAAGAATAACTTATAGCCTTTGTAAAAGAATTTTATCATTCAGTCACTTGATACATATATTTTATTGTTCTAAGCGTTCAAATTTGTCTCGTTCAATTTATTTCAAAATGAAAAGAAAGAATGAATGTAATTCTGAATTACGGTTAGATTTAAATAAGTAATCTGATAAATTACACGTTCAACTCTACATTTCAGTCAGTTAACTTGATACGAATTTCACTGATCGAAAGTGTCTTACATCAAGTAAACGCATAAATTTAAGGAAGAAACTAACTAGATGAAATCCAATCATGCTATAGTACTAGGAATAATAATATTGATGTGAAAACCGATTGATAACAAAGAATATGACTGCAATAGATGAATAAGAATGATCTACATTTCTTGATTCACTGGTTTATAATGTTAGTTAGATTTCAATCAGATTATGACTGTTGAGTTTTTATTCTCAAATACATTTCAACTCACAAAGAAACTCAAATCAAGTTTCATTGACTTATTCCCAAGTTACTCGAAGGAATTTATATTATCTCTGGTTGAATAATCACTTGGTTATAAAAAGGAATATATTCATTAGTAGTCAAATGATTTTATACTAAGTTGATGAAAATCCTACTTTTCTAATTCATTCACAAATATGCAACATGGGACGTAGTACAGAAGCGCATCGGTTTAAATTACCACATTATACATCAAAGCAGTAAGATGGAATTATCTAGTTGAATACCAAATCAACAGAAGTACTAGTAGTAATAGTAGTGGCAAAAAAAATTGGTGTTGGAGAAAATAGTTCTCAAAGATATCATGTATCCGAGGTATAAAATAACCTTGAAATTCATGATCTTAAGTAAGATAAAGTATAAATACACCTGTGTCACTGAAACAGATTCTCAGCTGTGTCTTTCAACATTTCCACCTTCAAGTTATTATAATCCAAAGACTTCAAACAGGTAGATTTTATCAAACAACATGGCTCAAAGTAACAGTCAATGAATATTCAGATTGATACTACGTTTTGATTTAATTATCTTATAAGACAACAAAGTCTTCTAAAAGAGTTTAACTGATACCAGTAAATCAATCCATAACAATGTTCATGAATCCGTAAACGAAAAACTATATCTGACTATTTCATAGACTTTTCTATATAGCAATACAGAAAAAAAAGAGAAATATTGAATTTCTTTAAAATATTACTTACTTTTATATACCATCCTGAAAAATCTTGGTCGTCTTTGAAGGACCTACAAAATCAAATTACGGTTAAATTTTTATGTCGGAACTTACCGTTTATCTGTATCTACAAAAGGGGTCGATGTAAGACTTTTACTAGAATGCATCAATTTACTACTCTGCGTTATGCCAACTTTTCCTTCTTCAATAATCTCAACACTATTTTCTTCAACATTATTGTCTTCATCTTCACTTTCTTCTTCCTCAATATCAAAGTTTTCACTCGTTTCATCGCCTTCACCTTCTTTCTCATCATTTTCCCATGTTTCTTCACCATACTCCACACTATCTTCAGTATAATCAGGGATTTGATTCACAACAGTATTTGTTTTCTTAATTTCATTAGATTTAACTTCAGTGTTTTCTCTGTTTACTGTAGTTTTATTGATGAAAAAAAAGGAAACCGACTTAACTCACCTTCTTGTAAACTAATCGCATTCGCCTGTTTTTTCTCTTCCTCCAACAACTCGTCGGCATCTTCATCATCGTCACCATCTTCACTGTATGTTTGTGGACTATCTTCTGCTTGAATATTGTCATTATTCACAACATTTTTTTGTTTTATATAGTCCTTTTATTGAAGAAAATATTTAGTCGATAAACGTTTTATATACCAGTTTTAAATTTTCCCATTCCGATTCAACCATTACTATTTTCTGTAAACAAACCGGAATAAACAAATTGTAATACAATCATACCTTTAAAAAATTCATTGGAACTAAACCTTGTTTACCTTGAATATTTTCACCAAGCCACCAACCATCGTCACTATAAATAAAGAAAAAAATATCTTTGAACTTTGAAAATGATTATCAATATTTGGGTACTGATTATAATTAATTAATTAATATCAGAAGGGTTTTTGTGGATATCATAGTAATTTCAGTGGCTGAGATTTTGAGTCAATGGAGGCTAGACCACCATGGGAAATCCGAAAGTACTGGACGGCCGTTTCGTTCTATTGTAGGACTCCTCAACAGAGCACATCCACGATCCCGCCTCGCGAGATTCCAACCCAGGACCTATCAGTCTCGCGCGCAAGCGCCTAATCACTAGAACACTGAGTCAGTATTCAACGGTGTTTATGTCTAACTTCAACTAATCCACAAAATTGGGCGACACATCCACCATTGTCTTCAGTGAGCTAATATCTCACAACAGGCCTGGTCGAACTTCACCAGTCACTGCTTCTCACTAGAACTCCAGGAAATACTTACTGAAGCCAGACATGAATGAGCATATGTTGATTAGTTTCAGAAGAGGTTTTGTGGATATTATAGTCATTTTAATGGTTGAGATCATGAGATATAAATTAAAATTATCTCATCAATATACAACACCTATTCACTTGATATTTTTAAATTCCACTGAGAAAATATCATAATTCAAAAGATTACTGGATAATGGTTATGGTCTTGTAATATTAAATAAAATTTATGACTCAGTGGTCTGCATATTATGTAATAATGACTGGAAGTCTTAAGATCAATTCCTACTTGCAGGGTCGTCGATGCACTTTGTTGAAGAGTCCCATACTAGGACGAAATGACCTTCTAGTACTTCCAGGTTTTCAGTGGTAGTCTAACATTGATCAGTTCATGTCCTTATTAAAAACTCTATTCAATCTTTCGATTGATAGATATCAGTCGTAGTGAAATTAATTTCTACTATACAATAGAAAAACATGCTTAGATTAATTCTTATTAATAATTGTTTCATGCAATATTTTGTTTAGTATAATATTGTTATTTTACCATGAAATGTCTCAAAAAGTTCCGTTCATTCTTCAATTCCATCGCATATATAAATGGATAGATAGATGGGTAGATAGATACATGCTGTAAAAGTGGAGAGTATTTGATTAGACCAGTCTTTACAATTATTCCATAGCATAGAATATGTGCTTGATTTATGCGCTCGAGTCTTGTTTCGCCAAATGATATAAAAAAGAAAGATATGAATAAATTTAGTGGTTCTTTTTACTTGATAGAAAAACAACCATTGCTATGCCTTTTTTGTCTATGAATGACGTCGTTGAATGTAAACTGTACATCGCAAGTGCAACTTAGTAGTAGTTCCTTCAAATAAACTTCCGGTACTGCGATGGTAATCTCATTATTATTTATGTATTTTCAGACAAAATTTATGGTCTCTGTAAGTACAACATTAATGATTCGACATCCAGAGATAAGATAATTTCGTCATTTACATATATTTTTTATGTGTTCAATGAATTCCAAAGTATCCTGTATAGAGTGTCTACAAATGCGTTTTTTTACGAGATCTAGGAGAAATGCCAGCCACTTTGCTGTAGAGTGGTAAGTGGATCCGGAAATATCAAGAATTGATTAGAAAATACTGATGTCGAACTACTGTTCACTAATGTTTCACTCACAGAGACCATCAGTTTTATCTGCATACACGTAAAGAAAAACATTTATCATCTATTTTCCAAATTCCAAATGTCTATACATAATCACATAAATAACAGCATCAGAAAACTTATGATCTTTTTACGAAAGTTGGAAAAAAATTATGAGGAACAGTATAGAACGGGAACGAAAATCAGTCAGTCAGTAATAACGTAGAACTTCGTACGTACGTACATCAGTTCAAGTTGTCATAACACATTATCACACGGATACAATTGTTGATCCAAATCCCATAGTAGTAGAGGTGGTAAGCGTATAAGCAGTCATTGGAAAGATTAGAGTTTGACGATGTTATTCAATGAGTATAATCCAGTGAAATAAATTTGAAAAGTGAAAAACAAAGACATATGAAGAATTCAGAAGATAAACTTAACAAATCATCATTACAAGTAAGCCTTACTCTTTTTCTAAAATTTTCAAAGTTTCACCAGATATAAATGATAAATCATCTTCATCATCACCAATCCATTGACGTATTGTTTGATAAAACTAATCAATAAAATTGATAAACTATATATAGAAATGAACAGATATCTACCAAATCAATATTTTCACATTTTCTTGATTCTGCAGGTTCTGAAATCTAAAAAAAAAACACGAAAAACAAAATTTGTAAAAAAAAGAATAGAATTGCCTTGGTTACAAAATATTATTTCAACAATACCTTATTATGAACTTGTAAAACATTTTGTGAAGAGATTTGTTTTATTATTTCATTTTTCTCTTCTTTTTTTTCTTTTTTCATATTTGTTTTCTCTGTTTGAAATGGTTGAACTTGATTGATGTTATCTTCTATTTCTGTTTCTTCATTTTCTAGTTCTATTTCTTTTATCTCGTCTGTTTCTATTTCAGGTAGTTCAGTAAGTTTTTGATTATCTTGTAATTTTAAAGTTGTTTTTTTATTTGAAGATAAATTGTCGTCATCATCGTCGTCATCGTTACCATCATCATCAACATCATGATCATCACCATCATCATTTAATTTATTAGTTTTATCTAAAGTGTAAAAATTGTTTTGTTTAAAATTTTATAAATAAATAAATAAGTAATTGAATTATAGTTCATAATGATTCCAATGGTTTTATTTATTTATTTGAACACATAAACACTAGTACAAAGGGGCACCGAATATATACATGCCACACAAGTCACTTGATTTGTGTGTGAGCCACCACCACCAAAACAGGTGGTTTTCTTAGGCAGCCATGCTCGGAGCCTTTAACCTAAAGGCCTGATCCGCAAGGCAGTGGAGTAACGTCAGGTTATGCAGTCCCATGGTAGTCGGTGACCAATAATTGGTTCATACTTCATTTTTTCCTTCAAGATACTGGAGCCCATGCGCATCAGGTTTTCTCAACTCTCCTAAGTGGATCCTCCGTAATCACCAATCCGGTTAAAGCTTCGGACATTCGCTTTTCGTCCTCTCGATTTCGTAAACAACGCCAACGCCACGAGAAGGCAGTGAATACGCCTTCCCGACAGTGGCTGTATACGCGTGGCCATGTTAGAGCATTTCCAGAAAGAGAGCTGATTCTCCCCGCACTCGGCCATACCAGGGCATTTGAAGTGATTTATCAGCTACTTAGGAAATCTTACTAAGTTGTAAAAGAATTGACAGTAAAAAAACAGTGAAATAACAGTGAAATGATAGCCTTGATTAGAATTATTATTCTTCACAAGTTGAAGTACCATTGGTAGTAAAGAAAAAGGTCAATTTTACATTTATGCATATATTCTAGGAATCAAGCTAGTGTTGGGAGTTTTGTCAACACATAAAAAGTTTAAAGTTAGGTATTTGGAGTCAAATTGAAGTTTTGTGTTAGAATGATAAATTAAGGTCAGGGGGTTTTCAATACGAACTAGAATCAGCCGCAACACAATGCTTTTCCATCTTTCTTTTTACAAATTTAAAAACTTGGGGTTGAAATTTAGAGTTTCATTAAACATTCCCGATTACACAATGATTTACAATAATTACTTCAACATACAATCTGCTTTAGGAGCTGGTATGCATTGTAATATAGCTTGGGGCCACATTTTGCTTGCATAACAGATATTTTTATTGATTTTAAGAACCAAGTATTGCAAATTTTCACTTCGTTAATAATAACATACATGCTGCCTATCACTGCACTTTGAATTTTGCATAAAAAACATGAGGCATCATGCTAATTCTGATCGTTTAACTTAAGGCCGTTATTATACTATACTATATTATACTAATAACACGCGATGTAAACAGGTTTAAGTCTTCCATAAGTTAGTCTGACTGTAAATTGAAAAGATAATGATATGCAAGTTTGAAAATACGAGTATAGATTGCCTGGTCTTTTTTAACATTTATAAAGATCCAAGTAAATTTAATAGTTGAATTCATGAGTTATTTAAAGTTAGACCACCGTGAAAAACCTAGAAGCACTGGGTTCGAATTCCGCGAACGGGATCGTAATGCTGAGGAGTCCCATACTAGGACGAAACGGCCATCCAGTGCTTCCAGATCTTCCATGGTGGTCTAGCTTTAATTGACTTATGTATCCAACTATTAAATTATTACAATCTCCACAAAAATCCTTTCCTGATAATAATCTAAGTAAATGTCTATGAGTCTCCATGTCATTCTTAGTTAGGATTAATTATTTAGGATACGGATTAGAGGGATAAATTAAGGGTTTTCATCATAAATTAATATTAACTATAATGCAAGAATTCCGCAAATATGTAATGATCATTATATGTGTTATTTAAATTTCACAGAAACTTGAAGATAATGTTCTCAATTTTGATTGGATCGCCTCCCTAATAGACTTTGATCATTTTTCCTTATCCTTCATAATTTTAGACTTATTTCATTACTTAAAAATTTCTTCAACCAATTTCTTTGGTGAACAATATAAATTTATTTCTTATTGATTGAGATCAACTAATGTTAATCTTAGTTACCACTGACTTGTATTCATTTATTCTATTATGTAATCAACTAAATTTAGCATTATAATCTTTCGTTACCAATCAGTTTAACGTTGTGGAATCTTCTTTAGAGCTTGTCTACTTATTCACATTCTTTGTATTGCTTATGAGTTATGTGAATCTTTGTTCCATCGAATTATATTCATCATTTAATAACTGACTTCATTTGTATAAATTTTTTGATACTGTTCTGAATAATTTCAATTTTAAAGCATTATATGTTGAAATCAGCTTCTTTCTGTTTCAATCCCTATTCCTGCTTTCTTCAAGACTTAATCTTATTAATCTTCGTTATGAAATTTCATTCTAAGTGTACATTACTACTGAGAACTTCAAAGACTGTGTTTAATTATGTTTTTAAAATGTTGATAAGAATATTCATTAGTAGATTATTGTCCAACAGAAATATGTTGTACTTGTTTAACATTTACAACGGTTTTACTTTATCTTTAGTAATGTGGTAAAAGCTCAATAGTTTCAGTGATATTTTATAAACTTGCTTCTTATTCTCTTTTCAATTATCCGAATACTGACAGTATTAATTTTGATAGTAAACTCAAGAACATTTAATTAGTTAGAATAAAGCAGAAGAGAATTTGGAGAACTTTAGACGATCATTGAAAACCTGGACGGTTATTCCATTCTACCATAAGGCTCTTCAGTTGTGTATATTCAAGGAGCTGATACCTAGGATCGAACAAAAGACCTTCTGATTCACGCACAAACACTTAATTTCTTGACGACCTGAGAACGGATCCATTGGTATGCAACTCTAACTCCAGTTAATCTGCGATAATGAGTGGCCATCCTCTACTGTTTTTGATGAGTACCCTCCTTGCGACCAAAACAGTTGAACTCACCTGGTCACGATTCTTCACTAGAATTCTGGAACTGTCCCCTCACCCCTTGAAGCTAGTCATTATTTAGCACATATATATATAAATCATTAATGTAATAGTTCAATTACTTCCATATAAAGAATAAATTATGTTAAACCATCACAATGAAGCTAACGTGAACGAAGAAATATAATTAGCGCAAATGAATTATTATAATCACTAATACTAGAATTACTTTTATTCTTATCCTTCAACTTTTTTCCTGGTTTCTTCTTTTTCTTTGTAGATACTTCATTTTCATCTTCAGATGTTTTCAATTTTTTACCTTAATATTAAGTATTAATTTATATCACCTATATCATATACACTTACTGGATGTCTTTATTCGTTTTGAAGATTTTACCTTTTTCAATATTTTATCTGGATCCAAGTTATGCTTATCATCATTATCATCATTATTGGGTATTTCATCATGATTATCAGTTGCATGTATTTGTGCAATAACTGTAGTAGTAGTGGTAGCAGGAGTTTTATCTTTAGATTCTTTCACATTTCTCCCTTTGGAGATTTTAAGTTTGATTGACTTTGAATCATTCTTTGTTTTTCTATGTTTATTCCTTTTATTAGCCTGTTCTTCTTTTTCCCCTTCTTCCTCCTCCTCTTCTTCTTCGTCTTGTACATTCAATTTTGTACTTTTTTTATTAATGGTATTTGACATTTCGGACTCTGTAGATGAGACAAAGAAAGCATTTCCTTATGATAATCAAAATGAAAAAAATAACACATAGTCACGTAAGCAAACCACAACGTGTAGAACATAGTCAACTGGATGAAAGCTATTCGGTTAAGTCAGCCAAACAAGGGTAGATACATAGCACCATTGCAATTTATACACTAGATAATCGTGTTTTAAATCACCGATTACATATTATTATCTGGCTTACATTGCTTACTAAATTTATCCCATCAACTTGTTGCAAAGCTAACTAAACTGCATAACTTTTGATTGTGATGAATACGTCGTTTTAGTGTCTGGTTGTTGAAGGCGACTGGATGAAATCTCTAAATCTCCTGCTTTCAAGCAAAGTGATACTTGTTGACAACGTGTATTGATGATATTTCAGGTGTAATTCTCCCCATGGAACTCGAACCAATATCAGCTCGTATCATAGTGAAGAATAACATCACTGAACTATTTGAATTATGACTGACTCATTGAAATTTTACGCACTATTTGATAGGTTAGTAGTATTAAATCCCACTTTTTTTCTAATCCTTATTGATGATCAAATTCGATCGCTCAAATTGAATGGCGCTTTCATCAAGGCTGAAGGAAATCTGGAGAGTGCCAATTAGTATAAAACCTAGGATCAAAGCTTTCCATTGATTACTTAAATGAACATTAAAAATCTCCCAGTGTCATTTACACAGCCTGTTGCACTGGCGAGGGATAGTTCTTACCAATTTACATAGAATAGTATTATAAAATCCCCATAAAGCATCCAGTCATCATAAATAATGTTATGTTTATTCATTACGCATATAATTTCCACATGGTCGATCTCTTACTCAGACTGTTATGGTGTAGCCCAAAAATTTGTACAAGTTAGCAAAATAATTCCAACTTTCAGTTGTCCGTTAAACTTACTAACCAACATCTGCACTTTAATTTTTTATACAATTTTTCCCACCGATAAATTTAAACAAAGTAAGAATAGAAAATGTAACAGAATAAGGTAAACTTATTTGTTTCGTGAATTCTCATTAACTGCTTACAACCTAGAAACAATAGTAATAGTTATTTACAACAAATGTACATAATTAATGTCATATTAATAAAGATTGGTCGAATAACAACAACAACCAAGGAAGAACTATAAAGCAGCAAGGTGGATGGATGGACAAATAGAAAAACCTCTTCATCGAAACAACACTTCGTATGAGATTTATTCGTAGCCAAATAGTTTCTGTTAAATAAGGTGCAAAAAGGCTTTGACTCAATTAATTCGCTTCACGAATTTGAATATAGCAAAAACAAAAAACTAAGTAGAATAATATGGATTTATTATATTTCGTTGTCTCTCATCAGCTGCTTGCAACCATGGCCGCTCACCAGCACTGTCCATCCAAACCTGTTCTGGGCAATCCTTTATAGTTCTTTCCAGTTGCTACTTATTCTTTTCGTGCTGCTCCCCATTTCCGAAGCAATCTGTTCCTTCGTCTTCCCCATTTTTGTTTCCCTTCAGCATTCCAAGTTAGCGCTTGTCTATTGATACAGTCTGGTGATTTTCTCAGTGTGTGTCCTATCCACTTCCAACGTCTTTTTCCAATTTCCTCCTCAGCTAGAAGCTGTCTTGTTCTGCCACACAGTAGGCCGTTGCTGAAGGTATCCGATCAACGAACACTGAGTATCTTATATAGACAATTGTTTATGAATACTTGCGCCTTCTTGAAGACGGTTGTAGTAGTTCTCCAAATTTCAGCTCCGTACAGTAGAACTTTCTTGATGTTCGTATTGAAGATTCTGACTTTCATATTGGTTGACAGTTGGTTTGAGTTCCATATGTTCTTCAACTGTAGAAATGTTGTCCTCGGTTTGCCAATGCTCGCTTTTACGTTTGCATATGATCCTCCTTGTTCATCGATGCAGCTTCCCAGGTACTTAAAAGATCCCACATCTTCCAGAGCTTCCCAATCAAGTGTGGTCGGGTTGGTGCTCTCTATGTTGTATTTGAGGGTCTTGCTTTTTCCCTTTGCGCATGTTGGGGCTTACTGATGCAGAGGCTGCTGTTACATTGTTTTTCTTGACCTGCATTCGTTGATGTGTATGACGTAGAAGGACCAAGTCATCTGCGAAGTCCGAATTTTCTGATTGTTTCCGAGCAGTCCATTTTATTCCATGCTTCCCCTCAGATGTGCTCTTCATAATCCAGCCAACCGCCAGAAGAAAGAGAAAGGTGAAGAGTAGGCAGTCTTGTCTTTCTCCAGTCCTTAATTGGAATGCGTCTGTCAGCTGTCCTCCAAATGGTTATATATATATATATATATATATATCCAGCTGACAAGTCCCAGATAGGACGAAACGCGCGTCAAACTGCATTCCACTGCTAGCCACTATCCATCATTGCTTACAACTGTTACTATTGTTTCTAAGTTGTAAGCAACTGACGAGGATCCACGAAACAAATAAGTTTACATTATCCTGCTACATTTGTTACTTTTACTTTATTGAAATAGTTTCAACTAATTAGAATAATAAATAGTTATTGATGGGTAAAATTTAAAACGGTCATATACATGATAGTTGTTACAGGAGATCATGAGTAAAGTTAAACGTCAATGCTTCTAGACACCTTAAGAAAATCTACATCAAGATAGATTATAAAAACAATCATTTTTACGAATTGAAACGTTCATAAATGCTAACTATTCATAGAACAAACATGATTTCACTGAATAAATTTTGTTTGTTTATGATGTTTTGTTATTCATAGTGATATTGTTGTGTTAAATTCAGATTTTAATAGAGATCAATCTTACTGTCTGCCTTCACAAGACTCAAACTAATAAAGAAAAATACTATATATATATATATATATATATATATATATATATATATATATATATATATATATATATATATATATATATATATATATATGGATGACATACCAAATGATAAATTATAGATCCACTTGGAATATACGCCATTTATGTTTAGTTGTAAAGTATCGAGAAGGACAAAATACGTGTTATTAATACTACTAATATCATCAAATCACCAAATTAAATTTAGGTCACATAGTATTAGTCCTTGTGTATTTTATAAACTGAATAAGTATAAATTATTTAAGGCACTGAATATGGTGTATGTTTATTTACTATCAATCCAATCTTCCATAGAGAGAATACTCATATTAGGGTGGGAATTTTCGTGAAGAATGTTCAATTACAGGATAACTTACATTCCATCATCAAATTCAGTGGTTTAACTATTGAAAATACAAAACAAACACTAAGCATCTAAGTGTGTCTATCTTGGGACTCATTAATAATGTGCTGCATCCACATTCCAACGAAAGATCGAATTCAGAACCTTGGAATCTTACGGTGATAATGGTACCTCTGAAGCACTAAGTCATAAATCAGTACTTTTCATTTCTAATTTTATCCAAGTTTCGATATTATGTGATCATATCATATCATCTGTAGTATATATGTATCACTTATAATACAACTGAACTTCACTGATGACTTCTTCAAACTAGAACCTCGCAAAATCTTTTCAGATGTTGTTACTAGTGAGTAGTTTTAAACTGGTATGAATTTCTCTCAAAGTAAAAAATTTTATGTACCTCAAGTTCAATACAAAATGTTCTTTCTATCTATTTATTTAAAATTTCGGATTTGATTTTGTTGATTAATGGCTTCAATGTACTTCAAGTTCAAAATTAAAACTTTTAAAGAATTCAAACGTTTTAACAAATACTACTAATAGACTAAACAATTATAATATAACAATTTATCTTATATAGTAACTATATATCATTACCTGGATCTTGAGATTTCGCTTCATGATTAGTAATATTCTCATTTCCTGACAATAAACCAACATTACTACGAAATAATCAATAATAATAATGATTCATTATGAATAATTATTTACATTGTCCCTATTTTTTTGTCTAATTTGTTCAATTTATCCTACAAATGATATGGTTATTGTATATGCATAGTAATTTTATGAATAATTATATATTACTGTTAAAGTAGATATTCTTGTCAAAAGTTGATTCTTTATTGATTCCAATTTCGGTAGTTGATTTTCTGGATCTTTGTCCTATTAAATGTACATATATATATATAGTTTATTTTCACTGTTACCTGTTTAATTTGTTTTATTGTATCAGCATATTTATTTAATTCTTCCAAGAACTGTACAGCTCTTTTTAAAAAAGAAACAATGATTGATCATTGGCAATTAAAATATAGAGCATACTTTGTATTGAAATTCTCTTGTTGTTCACTTGTCGGTTTTTTATGACTATTAACAAAGTTAATAAACCGTTTGATCTTTATAAAGATGAATGATTTATGATTATGAGAAGATATAAATACTTGTGATGAATTTTGATCTAATTTTTCAGTTATTAAATCAATTTGTTTCTTAGCCTCTGTCATATCTAGGAATTATTTAAATTTTTTTATTAAAACAGTTCATTTAAATATAATGAATAGATTTGCCAAATTTCTATATTATAAACGAAACATTTCGTTACTTGAATTCACTTGATGTTGTTTTACTTGAATCTTCCCATTGTTATTTAGGACTGCAACTGATCAGTCTCATGTTGGCATACGTGCATTCTGTGAGAATTGCCTCGATATTGCCTTAAGTCACAAGATTTTTTAAGCGAAGATGGATAGTAGCTAGCAGTGGAATCCAGGACGTGCGTTTCGCCCCAATTAGGACTCGCCAGCTGGATGTGCTTGCATCCCAGAGTTGATGTTCACCCCAGAACTCGAATCCAGTACCGTTCGCTTCAAACGCCATCGCGTTATCCACTTAGCTACCGAGTCCTGATAGCCACCTGCTTATTCAATGAGGTGAATTTTACTCAGTTGAAAGTTTATTATGGTAATTATTTAAGAAATGTTATTATTCATCCAGTCACTTAGTTGTTTAAGTCAAAGTACTGTTCGAAATCACTGTATATTAGTTCTAGTTTCCTCACTTTATATCGACACAAAAATAAATCTAACAAAAATTAGATAGTAGGAGACAAAACAATTATATTCACATTATTGTTTCTTAAATCACATGCAATGTCATTCAAGATAAATAAATGGAACAAAGCTTAAGGTTTAGAGGATGTCTCTGATCATAAAACATATCTAACTATAGTTTACTATGATTTCTCTGGTCATCATTGACTTCAGTGTACTAATAACAGACGAAATAATCATTTAGTCGGCAATGAAATTCAAACCCCGTTCAGTCTTCTAGCTTTACTCAAGGTTAGCCGTTGAGACATGCTTTGAGAGACAGATAATTGGAGCTCGATGACTACAAGAAAACAGATAAGTCATATGGGTGCCCTGATGAAGAAAAGACAGTTCATATAGCTAATCAACAACTTTTTGCATTTAGTCACATACCTCGAATGTTATAAAGCTTACATGGGCAAAACACACAACCTATATTACTAAATAATTTTATTAAATATGGACTTCCAGTTTATACCATCCTATCATATTTGCCGGACACTAAGATTATAACAATAGCTTCCTCAATCTTTCTTTCTTCTTAATAACATATGAAAATGTGATGAATGTATAACTAATGAATTAAAATTTCTTACGCTTAGGCGAAGGATAAAGAGCTTTTCGTGCTCTATCGCAGCGATTCATATGACTACACAATAAATTTGATGGATTAGACTTGGCTTTTCACAAAATACCTTTTCATACTAATTACTAAGTGATAGTTCCGATGCTTTGCACAATTCTGTAGCAAAGCCTTAAATTTGTGGCAGCGGATTGTTGCTTTTTAGCTGAAGTCCAGTATTCTTACTTCTTTTCAGCATCAAACTAAGAAATTTGCTATCACTATGGATGTGCAAAAGAAACGACTTCGTGTAGTAGCTAATGCATGAATTCTGAATTATAATTATTGCACGCATTTTTAATATGTCCGTGACGCCGAATTACTGAACGAGGTCAGTGTGACTGACGGCTCATCCACTGTAAAATGCTAAGCGTTACATTACACTGGTAAGTACCAACAACAGTCGTTAAATTAACGGTAGACGGTTTTGATGCTGCTAAGGACTTCGTGTCTTCATTCAGCGGTATCATTGGTGCAAATACATCAGGAAGCATGGATGAAAATACAGTACCGTTCAGTATTGTGAAGCGTAGAGCACAAGCACATTAGGCCTATGCATAATTAGTAAGGAAACACTGAAATAAAAAATACAACTACTTTTGCCAATTCGCATGATTTGTATGTGCCTGAAATTCAGGCTGGATGCAGCAACGTCAAGTATTCTAAGTTTCAGTTAACGGAAGCGCCTTTTTCTCCATTAGTTAAGTAAGCATTTTTTTATTATACATTTATACAAGTTCAACTAGTATAAAGTACAAAAACAGACCTCTGCGTCAACACTCACGTAGAGTCAAACACCACAGTAAGTCATGTTAGTGGTCACTTAAACTTTGATGGCTTGTCAAAAATAGGTTACATTGAGAAAGCTTGTTGCAACTATGTCCGACCTATATGCTGACCCTAAACAACTGATGACGGTCTTTAACAACAGTACATTTCAACCAATGCTAAACAGTGCCTTCAATCTGTCAGAGTCTCGTTAGGAAGAGTTAGAGACCCTTGAGACATGTCTTCTACAAGATGATATCAGGGATAGATTTATAAGATCTGTTTATTAGATGATTGATTGACATTTCGATGGCGAAAGTGGGCAACTTAATTGATCGCAACTCAAAAGAATCTTAAATATATGTTTTGGCATACATTTTTGGCCCATAGTTATCCATTAACTTTACTTTAGTGGAAACAGTGAATCAAAGAGATCTCAAAAAACTTCGATTCTATAAAGGCATATGAAGTAATAATGCACTGCTTCATTAAGTATATCTCAGATGCTCTAACACCAAAATTTAAAGACGCACTGTCAAGTGAACAAGACTTGACAAAACTTCTAGACAGCATGATACAAAGCTTCATACTTGATATGAGGGACAAACCGAATAGAGGTTATAAAAGAAGAAAGAACGGAGTGATAATGTCAACTTACAACTTTTACTTTATTGTGTCTGTACCCAACGCGGTATTTTATGCAATATCACTGCAAACGTGATCTCATTTTATAATCTATGACAACTAGGAAATCGGGATTAAACTTTTCCATAACTGTTTGTTTATTATCACTGTCAATGAAATTTTGATGTTCATGTAATTTCACTTAAATAATAATGACCAAAATAAATTTGATGCTGTGAAAAAATTACCATTCTTACTAATGTCCGTCTTGTTGTGGGGAAAAGTTAAATTCTGAAGTAGTTAAGGTAGATTTGGAGTACATAAATCGTAGCTGCATGAGATATTTTAAGTTTAAGTGAAGCTTAGACGAAAAATGACAATTATCTAATAACCCTATTTCAGTTTATGAAATTCACAAAAAAAAACGTTAAAAATGGCACAAAACATCAAAGTGTTCACAGAACTGAGGAAAATCACCAAAGTGTTATGAGATTTCGGAGAAATATTGGAGAAAAACAAAAATATTTTGCGGAGAACTTCTGAGGTTTTTATGCCGCTTTCCAAAACTCTCCCAAACAAGGACAAAACTTTTCCCAAAAGTGGAAGATATCTCCTATATTGTCCAATTGGACAATATTAATATTGGACAATTCGTAATTGAAAATAGGAGGACAATTGTCTAAGCGTTTCTTAATACTGAAAATTTAATTGAACTGAAAAAAGTGTTAAACAAGCCTAAAAACATATGAAAAGTGTTATGAACTATTAACATTTAGTGATTACCACGTTACTAAGTGGGTCAATTAAAAATGTCGATGTTAATATGTTTTTTTTCTTTACTCTAGGTAACAACAAACCTTTGATGTAGTAAAACAAATAACTATTATTCCAAAATATGAGTGATTAATCTGAAAAGTCACACATTCCTTACAAATTTTACATTTCAAATATACTTCTTTGTAGACCGTAGTAGGCTATTGTACTAGTTAATGTCCAATATCTTTGAAACGAACTTGCATAGATCGATTAATTACTGTTGTTTCAGTACAGTTTCAGATATTTATTAATATCCATCAAGTGACATTTTAGTCGTTTGACTACACTAATTCTATTCAGTTTGGTGGTCAATTGTGAGTTTTCATCTTCATACATCAAACACAGCTGGTCGGAGAGGAAGATGGTAATCTATGAGTGAGTTCGCCAAATCTCCTCTCAGCACTATCCACTAAGGGTATTGTGGCCACTTCGTCTAGAGGAGCATTCTAAACGGGGGCAATTCTTAATGCAAAAGGTGAGAGCGAGTCTGGGTTTTAATTCTGTGTTTTGGAATCTTTCGGGGTTTTTCTCGAGGAGCATGATGGTGGTGTTCAGGTGATTTGATGTACTTAATATGCTGTATGCCACTTTTAGATCACCACTTTTTCCCATATAGTGTCTAAAATCAACTTTGATTTCCATAAGGGACCCGTCTTTGAGATTTCTTTCATTATTTTTTATTCGGACAATAAACATCTGGTGACGATCAAGCTAAGACCACTAAGACTACTGAACAGACAGAATAAGAAAAGTTTAATGTACATACTTCACCGTTATGTTAACAGTTTCAGGAGCTTCGAGAAGCTAGTTCTAAGTATTTTAACGTCTAACAAACATATGAAAGCATCATGGCGAAGAACTGATGTGGGGTTAACACGGTAACTACTCTAGTATCCTAGGACGATGAAGTTTTTAGGAAACATACTGACGAATAACTGGTCTTGGTAAACAGTCTAGCGGAATTAAAAAAATGAACGAACAGAGGATGTGGGTGCGGGAATTAAAAGCACAATCCGATTCTTCACAAGCGACCTTTTGAGTCAAGTAATATATCATGTCGGTCAAAAATAGAATATGTCAGAGATGTAGTACTGGTTGCCTAAAAGCATGCGAGAAAGGGAAATGTGCAAGAACTATGTGGCCCAACAAAGCCAGAGGGAAACTATAGTGAATCAAGGTGATAAGTCGGAAGAAAGGGAAAACCAGAGCTGAGGAACAGGTGGATGGCGAACTTTGAACAGCTGTTTAACAGACCAATGTCATTAAACTTGATGGATACTGAAGCGGCGAACAGATTATCCCGCAGATGTCACTCTGTTAACAACCAAAGACATCATTAAAGCCATCAGACAAAGGTCGAGTAAAGAGTCAACGGAACCAGTCGACCGGGGAATGAAGTTAGTGACTGTGAAAACTATAGAGTGATTACACTACTGTCAGTGTGAGGCATATCTTTCACTTTTTCTCTTCTTGCTAGTTACTGACTGGATAACAGTGCCCTCAGGAGAAGCAAGTAACATGGTGTACACTATAAATGCAAAAAAATAGATTGAACGTTGTAGATAATTTGACATTTTATCTCATACACTGCAGCAAATGTGTAACAGCATAGGTTGGTTGGTTAAGAGTTGACCCCAAACAACCAAGCATATGTCAAAACAGTATTGTTCAAGTATTCATTCACTTCCTTATTTTGTATAAGCGTTATATTCCTTATTATCTTATATTGAATGTTGAAAGCTTTTGTTCCAGGATGAGACAAAGAATGAAAGTTATTATATATCAACTTTCGCATATTTTTCGGAACGAAAGGTCGCGGCACTTCCTCAGATATTCTTATTCCACAGTCTCACACTCTTTCTCATGAAAGCACGCAGCAAACCGTCAGCGATAGCTGTAGAAGAAATCACATGCTACAAAATAAGATGACAAGCTAGTAAATGAAGAGACATCCATG